CCCTATCTCTTTTGACCTTTTTTTTTTTTTTTGGTGGCAAAGGGAAATAATAACATTTCAGCAAAAGATGGAAAATTTCAATATCATTCCTATTCTAAGCCTCCAGATAATAGTGGTTTCCATTGTGTGTCTGTGTGTTCTTTCTAATCTTTGTCCACATGCAAGATATATTTTTTCATAAAAGCCTTCTGTTACAACATTTAAAAAAAAACAGTCCCTTCCATCCTGGAGGATTCTGGTGGCTCAGACAGCAAAGAATCCATCTGCCGTGCAGGAGACCCAGGTTCAATCCCTGGGTCGGGAAGATCCCTTGGAGAAGGAAATGGCAACCCTCTCCAGTACTCTTGCCTGGAAAATCCCATGGACAGAGGAGCCTGGTGGGCTACAGTCCACGGGGCACAAAGAGTCAGACACAATTAATCACATACATGCCACACCAAAGCAGAAACCAACACAACATTGTAAAACAGCTATACTCCAATAAAAATAAGTGAATGAATGAATGAATAATACCTATTCAGTGAGAATCAGAAAAAAATAATAAATGAAGGCATCCCATATTCATGTGATTGCCGTTTTTGTGAATTCTTTAAAAAAAAAAAAAGCAAAACCTGAAAGTCCCACACCCTGGAACCCTCTTGGTCCAGAGCACACCCAGGATGGTTGGTCGTGCTGGAGAAGCCCACCCCTCAAAATGGGCCCTGGGTGCTGCCCTGGATCTCAGGGTTCCCAGCGACCCAGCCACCAACATTCTGTGTGTGAACAGGGCGGGGGGCCTCCTGGCCTCCCCCACTGAGCGGTCACCAGGACGTCTGCTCTGGAGTTTGCTCCATCTGAGTTTTTCCATCATGTAGGACGCAGGCTGCTTTACTTATCCAGGGGGACGAGGCCCTCTTGCCAGCTTGCCCATAGAGGGTCCTCCAGCCAACTCTGTCCTCTCTCTTTGTTTTTCCATCTGGAAAGTGGGTGTAATAATCCTACCTAGATACACGGTCAAGAAAAACACAGTGTGGGGTACTTCCCTGGTAGTCCAGCGGCTAAGACTCCAGCTCCCAATGCAGGGGGCTCAGGTTCCATCCCTAGTCAGGGAACTAGATCCCACATCACAGCTATGAATTCACATGCTGCAACTAAAGATCCTGCATGCTGTAACTAAGACTCAGCGCAGCCAAATAAACTAAGAAAATATTTATTTTAAAAAAAAACCCACAAGGTGAACAGACTTTGATTTAAAGTGTATATACTCTGGGGAACCCCCTCTCCCCCGCCTCCACCAGTGGTTCAGTAGTTAGAACTCTGGACTTTCACTGCCGTAGCCTGAGTTCAATCCCTGATTAGGGAACTAAGATTGCGCAAACCACGCAAAAAATTTTTTAAAAATAAATAAAGTGTAGGACTTCCCTAATGGTCCAGTGGTTAAGAATCTGCCTGCCAATGCAGGGGATACTGGTTCAATCCCTGGTCTGGGAAGGTCCCACGTGCCGGGGAGCGACTGGGCCCAAGCGCCACAACTCCTCAAGCCTGTGCTCCTGAACAAGGGAAGCCTCTCCAATGAGAAGTCTGCATACCGCAACTGGAGACTAGCCCTGATGGCCGCCACTAGAGAAAGCCCTTTAGTTGCGAAGCAGGGAAGACCCAGCAAAGCTAAAAAAATAAATTATGATTTTTTTAAATCATAAAAAATAGAGTGTGCCTTCTGCATGAAAGCAAAGGATCTGATATTAGCAGAACCTCTCCACCATGTGGGGGAATGGTGGGGAGTGGGATACTTGGTCAGCAAGGGCGTGGCCTCTGTTGGCCTGACTCTGAGTTTCTGGTTTCTTTCAGGGCCGGAGCGTGTGACAGGGGTCTCTGTTCCCAGCGGAGGGGACCATGGCCTCCATGTTGCTCAGCCAGCGGCTGGTCTGCAGCTTCCAGCACAACTACCGCCTGTTGGTGCCGGGTAAGCCCTGGGGGATCTTGGCAAGAACTGGTCCTAATGGAAGATGCAATCCAGACTAGGGACTTAGGGGTCCGGAAGAGGTCTTGGGGACAAAGGGAGCTGCTGTCCCACCCACCCCCATAAAACGTCCTCTTGGCCGCTCCTCCCATCTCCAGCATGTGCTCCTGTGGCCAGGAGGACAGCTCAGCAATGGGCAGGGAGCTGATCTGCCCTGGAGCCGCTCTGCTCGCCCCCAAAGCCAGCAGGGCCCAAGCCATCCCCACAGGGACCGCTGGGGGAAACACAGAGCTAGGTTTGCTGCCCAGAAACAAGGAAACTACAAAAGCCCTTGTAACTTTTCAAAAGCATCAATTCTTCAGTGCTCAGCTTTCTTTATAGTCCAACTCTCACATCCATACCTGACTACTGGAAAAACCATAGCCTTGACTAGATGGACCTTTGTCGGTAAAGTAATGTCTCTGCTTTTATATGCGGTCCCTCTCAGATGCTTCCATTTCTCTCTGCCTCTCTGAATTCAGGCAGCATAGTCTAGTGAGCACCCTGCCTGTATGATCTCAAGAGACCTCCCTCCATAGGTCCCACAAGGAAGGGAAGGGTGAAGCCCAGTTTACAGATGAGAAAACTGAGGCTCAGAGAAGCCAAGTCACGCAGCCCCTTGAATGCAAGTCAGATGTGGAAAATAGAGCCCACAGGCCCAAACCCAAGGGTTGGGTTTGGAGACACAAGGCTCAGCGAGAAGCAAGGCTTTGATGATGATGTTGCCAGATCAGGCGTCTGGGGGGCAAGCACACCCAGAGTCATTACAGTGGGGTTTTTGTCCTCTCTGCACGCAAGTCCCTCCCCCAGTCCCTCATGGTTGCATACTATGGGGTTAACAATCTTCCTGAGAAAGTCACCTGGATTTATCACTCCCCCTTCATCTGGATCTTCCCACGCAAGTATCCTAATGGCTATTACATCAGCAGGCTGTCCCTCTAGGCTAGTTGTCCTTGAAAATGGACCAAGTTTTTCTTACGTCAGTCCAGCTCCAAACACTGGATTATTATCCACCCCCTCGATGTTCCTCCTGGGCTTCTCTGGTGGCTTGGTGGTAAAGAACCTGCCTGCCAACGCAGGAGACGTGGGTTTGATCCCTGGGCGGGAAAGATGCCCTGGAAAAGGAACTGGCGACCCACTCCAGTATTCCTGCCTGGTAAATCCCATGGAGCCTGGCAGGCTGCAGTCCTGCCAGGGGGTTGCAGAGAGTTGGACACGACTTAGCAACTGAGCATGCATGCAGCTTGCCTCCCAGCAGCTCTGGGAGAAGGAAGCTTGCGGTAGCCTGCTTCGGATGCCTGCCCCTCCAGGTTGTCCCCAGTTCTCAGATCACGATGTCTCCTTCTTATCATGTGTCCCATCTGCCTTCTGAAGACAAATTGTCGGCGCAGTCCTTGGTCTCCTTGTTGAATGTTGCAGGCGTTTGTATCTTGAGTAGGATAAAAAGCAGGAGTGTTCTCTCCTCTCCCACAGGTTTTATTTTTAAATAAACATTTATCTTGGATATTTTAGATGTGCAGAGAAATTGCAAAGACAGAGCAAAGAGATCCCACATGCTTTTCACCCAGTTTTCCCCAGTCTTATCATCTTACATCACCAGGATTGTCATTGCTGAGGAACTGACCTTAGTACATTGATCTGAACCAAACTCCAGACTTGCCTGTGAATTTCACCAACTTTTTCTCAGGGCCTCTTTCTGCTCCAGGGTCCAATCCAGTTTCATTATCTCCTCTGGTCTATGAGTTTCTCAGTTTTTCCTTTTTTTTTTAACCTTGATAGCCTTGAGAAGTTACTAGTAGGTTTTGAGGGTTTTTTTTTAAATTAGAAGATAAGCATATTAATGCTTACCCTAATTATGTAACAAATAAACCCCAATGATGCAGGTCTGTTGTGTTCCAAGTAGAAGGGAGAGTCATTAGCACAGAAGATTCATCAGATCTTAGCTGCGGCTCATGGGCTACCTAGCACAGGCTTAGTTGCTCCACGGCCTGTGGAATCTTAGTTCCCCTGACCAGGGACTGAACCTGCATCCCGCACATTGGAAGGCAGATTCTTAACCACCGGACCAGCAGGGAAGTCCCAGATGTTCAGTTTAGTTTTTAACAAAAGCAGAGCAGATAACTCCCGTTGAACTTGATCTTGACTTTGGCTAGGCTCACATACAGAACCCTTGCTGTTTGGGAAAGTGACATTCATTTATTACCCTCAGCAGAAGATCTAGAGGACATAAAAACATCGGATGGCAGTTTGGAGTTAAAAACTGACTCTGTGGATTGGTACAGTCACGGAGGATGGCGAGCATCATTATCAGACCCAGAGAATTGGGTTGAATTTACCCACCCTGCCTGGTCTTGCCAGTCAGGGCACACCCCTGCCCTCTGGGTGTTCTATTTTATTCATGAATGAAAATGTTGGATCTTTCAATGTTGATTAAAACTTCCTCCTCCTTTTGGCAGTAATTTGCCTCTGGGGAAGTGAGTTGTTTTGCTGAGAATGTTTCATTTCAAAACCTACACTAGATGAGATGGACTATACATCCATGATGCTCACAGCATCTGGGAAAGGGGAGGTCTAGTGGACAGACTGCCAGCTTCACCACTTTCCATCTGTGTGACTTTGGGCAAATTAATTGACCTTTCTGAGCTTCTTGTCTCCTTTAACATAAGACTCATAATAACATTTGCCTCCTATGGGGTTGTGAGGATTACGTGAGGTAATCCATGGAAATAACTCAGAATAATGTCCAGTGTGTTCACCGTAAGTGCTCAATAAACGGACATCTGCTCACACAGCTTGATAGAAGGAACCCTGGAAAAGGCTTTCTTGTTCTTTCAATTCTTTTTTTTTTTTCTTTTGTTTTTTGGCTTTCCTTTTCTTCTTTAGTTTTTTTTTGGGGTTTGTTCTTTTTCTTTTCCAAAAGTTCAAATTTGGGTTTTGTTAGGAAAGGCCCCGTTTTTTTGGCTTCAATTTGGGGCTTTGCAACTTCCTTGGTTTTTTGCCTTCGGGAACTTTGTTTACCTTTTTTGTTCTCATCTGTGAAATGAGGACAGTATCTTCTCACAAGAAGGTTGTGGATTAATTAAAACAATAGGTGAGGGGCTTCCCTGGTGTTCCAGCAGTTAAGACATCAACTTCCAGTGACAGGGGTGCAGGTTTGATCCTTGGTCAGGGAGCTGAGATCCCACAGGCCTAGGGGCCAGAAACACCAAGACATAAAATGGAAGCAATATTGTAGCAAACTCAATAAACTGTAAAAGTGGTCCACATCAAAAAAAAAAAAAAAAGGTCTTAAAAAAAAGAATAAAATAATAGGTGAGCGTTTGCCTGAATATATGTGAGCTTCCCCATCTTCCTTTTTCCAATAGCACATTTGCAAAAAAAAACTCAGCAGACTCTGATTTTCAGGATTTCTGCCCAGCATTTTTGGCCCGCTCCCATCCATACCCAGAAAGACTTGGAACACGGTAAGAACCAGTGCATTTCCTGACCCAGATGCATCTGCCTCACCCCTGGCCTTGGCATCCCCGTCTCCTGCCCCATCAATCCCCGCTGTGTCTCCCAGGTCCTACCCTAACTCCGCCTCCCAGTCCTGTTTACTCATGGTCCCGGCATCCCCCCCAGGACCTCACACACCCCATCAGGATCCTTTCAGCTGCAGGTCCCACTGCCAACTGCCTCCACCCCTGGTATTCCCACTTCCCAAACCCTAAGAAATCTGATTGCTACAATGCCATGTCAAGACATTTTCTGGAGAAAGGAAGAGAGGACTTGTGTGTCCTCATGGGAGGATGACTTACTTCTTATAGATTTTTCACTTTCCCCCCTTTTCTGGAAACAAAGGAAGAACAGCAGGTTAAGAGCTCTGTTTATCCAAATAGACCTGTTGAATGGAGGCCTAGTTGGAATCAGTCTTGACCAGTAATGCTGAGTTCAGGCCAAGGAAGAGACAAACAGTTGAGTGTGTGTGTGTTGTGTTTTTTCTGTAAGTCATCTATATGGTCCATGATTTTTAACTCTCTGCTGTTGGAATAAGATCTTTAGGAATTCCTTTTTCATTGTAAGATCAAACAAAAGATAATAAAAGCTGGTATCTTCATGCCTGAAAATCAGGGTGGTATTGGATTTTAACTGGATTTTATGTTCAAAGGACTCCACTTTATTCCATATTAATTCAGAAACCTTCTTTGATATTCCAAGCAATTATGAAAAATTAAGAATGAATTTATGTTTTCTAATATTATGGCTTTTTATAGTTGGGCAGGTTTTGTGTGTGTGACAGAGAGACACTAGCATGTTTTAGTATTAGTTGCCTCTCCTGTGTAATGCAATAAATAACAACTACCCCTCAGGGTTGTAGAAGGATGAAATAAGATCATGTACATGGGTTTTTTTTTTTCCTTTTTAAAAAAAGTAATTTATTTTAATTGGTGGCTAATTACTTTACAGTATTATGGTGGTTTTTGCCATACATCAACATGAATCAGCCGCGGTGCACATGTGTCTGTCCATTCTGACCACCCCCCACCTCCCTCCCCACCCCCTCCCTCTGGGTTGTCCCAGAGCACCAGCTGTGAGTTCCCTGCTTCATGCATTGAACTTGCACCGGTCATCTAGTTTACATCAGGTAATATGCATGTTTCAATGCTATCNCCCCATGGACTGTAGCCCACAAGGCTCCTCTGTCCATGGGAGTCTCCAGGCAAGAACACTGGAGTGGGCTGCCATGCCCTCCTCCAGGGGATCTTCCCCACCCGGGGATTGAACCTGTTTCTCTTATGCCTCCCGCATTGGCAGGTGGGTTTTTTACCATTAGCACCGCCTGGGAAGTCCCAAGTGTAGTGTATATATTTTATATAAAATCAATATATTAATATATGCTTATGATCCGTATACGGGCTTCCCTGATAGCTCAGATGGTAAAGAATCTGCCTGCAATGCAAGAGACCTGGGTTTGATCCGTGGGTTGGGAAGATCCCCTGGAAAAGGAAATGGCAATCCACTGCAGTATTCTTGCCTGGAAAATTCCATGGACAGAGGAGCCTGGCAGGCTACATAGTCCATGGGGTCGCAAAAGAGTCAGACATGACTGAGCATGCACACACAATACATATGGATATAGATTAATATTTTTTTTACAAAATTTGGATTATATTTATTATGGATACATAATATTCCCAATATTCTGCTGCCCATGAAAATGGTAGGACATGGCACATTCTGTTTAGTGACCCTCCTTTGTTGGACATTTCAGTTGTTTCCTCTCTGTTGTTGTTAGAAACAATGCTATGATGAATATTTTTAATCTACATCTTTTTGCACTGGTCCGATTATTTTCCAGATGAATCCTGAAAACTGAGGTTGCTTAGTCAAAAATAATAGGAAGTCGGCATCACCCTAGCCTCACAACAGTGTGATGTGAGCATGCCTGCTTGCCTACACCATCACTGGCACCAGGCTTTCCCATTTCTTGAAATCCTCAGGGTGCTTGTGGTACCCATGTCTGACCACACGCAGAGTTCTGGGATCATCAGGCTGGCATGGGTCTCAGGCCCTGGTACTGCCTCTGCTGGGGACTCCCAGTGTTGTAAGGGCAGGATTCTCGTATCTGCTATGCTTAGGGGTTTCTCACCGCCTCTGTTTACTGCAGGGTCCAGACACATCAGTCAGGCTGCAGCCAAAGTTGACATTGAATTTGACTATGACGGACCTTTGATGAAGACGGAAGTCCCAGGGCCTAGATCTCGGGTGAGTTGAGCACACTTGAGTGGTATGTTTCAGAAAAGAACAAAAAGGGTCCATGGGGCAAGAACACAGCCCCGCTGAGGGCCCTGTATCCTTAGCTACTTTCAGAGAGTTCACCATTAGAGGTCCAGAACTTTAAACCGGGCCATCCTTCCATAAGAAGTCAAAGAAGTCTTCTTAGAGGACATGTATCAGTTATAAATTGCTACAATAGTGCTGCATAACAAACAGTCCTAAAAGCCTTAACAGTATACAAGTTGCTCACGCAACCATGGTTAACTGGCAGTTGGGTAGGCAGCTGTGTTGGGCTCATCTATGTGCCTGAGGGGTGACTGGCCACCAGTTGATCTAGGTTAGGCTTGTCTTGGGTCAATGTGGTAATGTGGCTCAGCTTCCTGGGTCTCTCATATTCCAGCCAGCCAGCCTGGGCTTGTTCTCACGGTGATGGAAAGGAGTGGTTGCTATAGGTCTCTTGAGCCAGGCTCCCCACTGACCCACCATTACTTCCACCTCATTCTGTTGGCCAAAGCAAGTTACGTGGCTTGTTTCTGAGTCCAGAGTCAGAAGCTGGGGCAGAGCATCCCACCAACAGTGAAAGAACCTGACCGTGTGATGTGGCACAGGGCGTGTATCACAGATGCTTCCCTGAGCTTGATCTTGAAGGGTCACAAGGAGGAATTGGCAGGAGTGCATTCTGTTCTAGGCAAGGGGAATGGTGACAAGCCCGCAGGGTGACAGTGCATGGTGTGTGAGAGCTTTTGGGCAGCTCAGAATCCCTGGAATAGATGCTGGAGAAACAGATAAATGTGGCAAGGGGTGTTGCAGCTTCTCCCCAAAGAAGCTACAAAATCTGCATACACCACACTTTGCAAGAATGGTTAACCTTGATTCTGTGTTGTGATGTGCAATACTGTTTCTGATGCCTGCATCTAAAAAATAACAGTGTAAACCTTTGTAGTACAAATTAATTTTTTTCTCTGCATATTTTTCAGGTTTTATCCACACACAATGTCTTTGTTTTTTTTTAAACTCAAAAGATGTTTCTTTTGACATTGAAACTATTTAATAAAACTAGAAATCTTTGTGCTGATGTAAATGTAGCTATTTTGCATGGTCCTTTGCTAACAAAAGACTTTTTTCATGCATATTTCTATTGTGAGGGGTGAATTTTAATTTAATAACAGTAAAATAGCTGGAATAAATTTCATATTCTTATCTGAATATTACTTTGTATTTTTACATGGAAATATATGATTTTATGATACTAATTGCTAAAGTTTACTTTCTGTGACTTCTTTTCAGAGATGAAATCTTTGTAATAGTAAAACCCCTAGGTTTTAATTCCCAGTTTCTATGTATAATTGTACAAGTGATTTATGGAATGTTCAGATTATAATTATAAATGGTGCAGATTTCTATTTTCCTAATGGTGTGTTAGAGCTTTTTCCCCCCCCCCTTAGTATAAAAAGAACCCATACTTTTCTGGACATTAGATAAATATCTTCAGCTCAATTTTTTTTTGTTGTTAAATATTTTAGTTTACTTGATTGTTATCTTTGAAGTGTTCAGCCCTCCAACCTGTCTGTTGTACTGGTAACTGAACTGGCAAGAATCATTTCCCACCAACTATTTCTTTTAAGGATTTTAAAAAAATATGTATAATATTGTTGACTAACTATTAAGTTATTGACATGAAGGGGGAAAAGCCCCAAGACTTGGGAAAAGATGAAAGATTTTAAGCAAGCATGTGTCCTTGCTATGATGCTTTTTTTCTTCTCTCCTGCAGGAGCTAATGAAACAATTGAATATAATTCAGGTGAGTAGGGATGAAATAGCCATCCTATCTTTGCTTGTTGGTTACAACTTAATCTGTGCTGGCTCTTTTTATAAAACATGCTTTCGTTCTAAACCTTTTTCTTCTAATTTCATCTTTTCTTCTTTGACTCGTTGGGTTGGGTTTTTTTTTTTAATATTTATTTAGTTATTTATTTGGCTAAGCTGGGTCTTAGTTTCAGTACGCAGGATCTTAGATCTTCTTTGCAGCATGTGGGATCTTTAGTTGTGGCATGTGGGATCTAGTCCCCTGACCAGGGATTGAATCTGACTCCCCTGCATTGGGAACACAGAGTCAGCCACTGCACCACCAATGAGGGGTGTCCCATATTGGTTATTTATATAGTGTAATTCCCACATTTTGGTGAACTTCCCAAACTTCTGAGATTTCTAATCTCCTTCAACTGGGGTTGGAAAACTTATTTTGAATGATTTCAATTCTTGGAAATTTATTGACCCTTTTTTATGGCCTAGCATTTGGCCTATTCTAGAAAATGTTCTGTATGCACTTGAGAGGAACATATACCCTGCTCTTGTTGGGTGGAGTGTTCCACACGTTTTTGTGAGACCTACTGACTTTGAGCGTTGTTCACATCTGTTTCCTCACTAATTCTCTGCCTGGTTGTCCTATCCATTGTTGAAAGCCAGGTTCTGAAGCATCCGACTAGTCTCATAGAATTATTGTTTCCCTTCAGTTCTGTTAAGTTTTGCTGCATGTATTTGGGGCTGTATATCAGGTTTCGCAGGTGGCTCAGCGTTAAAGAATCCGCCTGCAATGCCAGAGACATGGGTTCGATCCCTGGGTCAGGCAGACTCCTAGAGGAGGAAATGGCAACCCACTCCAGTGTTCTTGCCTGGAGAATCCCAGGGACAGAGGAGCCTGACAGGCTTCAGTCCATGGGGTCTCAAAGAGCCAGACATGACATGACTGAGCAACTAAACAACATCAGCTGCTTACATGTTTATAGCCTTCTTTGTGGACGGACCCTTCTGCCATTCTCCAATGCCTCTCTTTACCTCTAGGAACATTTTATTTGTGTAACAGTTTTATCTGATATCACTATAAAGCATCCAGCTTTCTTATGATTGCTATGAGAATCATATATCTTTTCCTATTTACTCTCAACCTAATTTGTATTCTAGAATCTAAAATATAACTCATGTAGACGGCATATCACTGAATCTTTTAATACAGTCTGATAGTTTCCGATTTTTTTTTATTGACTTACTTAATCCATGCACAGTTAATGTTAATATTGATGTAGCTGTATTTACAGGCTCAGTTTTATTTTCTGATATTTTTAATTTATAACATTTTTTAATTTGGCTGCACTGGGTCAGTGGCGTGTGGGATCTAGTTCCCTGACCAGGGAATGAGCCCCAGCCCCTTGTAGGGGCAGCAAGGAGTCAGCCACTGAACCAGCAGGGAAGTGCCCAGTTTTATTTTTTGTTCTCTCTCTTCCTCTTGTCTTTTTTTATTCCTCACCTTGTTTTCTACTATTATTTTGGTACATAATGTGAAAATCTTCTAGTGTACCATTTTCATTTCTTTCACTATATAATATACATATTATATTATCAGTATATAATCACTATAGTTTTTTAGTTTTCTTACATGCTAAGACTTACCATATACATCTTAACTTTCCAGAATTTTCTTCAGATTTATTTTTCAATCTTTTTTGTTGGGATATATGAAACACAGACAGAAAAAAAAATCATTAAATACAAACCCACAGCATAATAAACAATTATAAAGCAAATCACCTATGTATTAATAACTACCAGCAGGGCAAAAAAAATCCAACATTGCCAACAACTACAGACACCATCCATGTGTCTTTAAATGGTCAGGACATGGTTTGAACCCAGGTCTCCTGCTCTGCGGGGGCTTCCTAGGTGGTGCTAGTGGTAAAGAACCTGCCTGCCAATACAGGAGATATAAGAGACACGGGTTTGATCCCTGGGTCAGGAAGGGCATGGTAACCCACTCCATTATTTTTCCCTGGAAAACCCCATGAACAGAGGAGCCTGGCGAGCTACAGTCCATGGGGTCACAAAGAGTCGGACACGACTGAAGCGTCTTAGCACGCATACTCCTGGATTGCAGGCAGATTGTTTAATGTCTGAGCCATCAAGGAAGCCCCTTCCTTCAGCAGTTCAAGCTTAGTTCTGAAAGACTGAGGGTCTAGGGAATTTCAGTGAGCCTGATCCAGTCTCTTCTTTCCCCAAGAATGCAGAGGCTGTGCACTTTTTCTGCAATTATGAAGAGAGTCGAGGCAATTACCTGGTGGATGTGGACGGCAACCGGATGTTGGATCTTTATTCCCAGATCTCCTCTGTCCCTATAGGTAAGAGCTGGAAAATAAATCCTTGGATGGAGCTTCTCTCCATGTGTTAGTCATGGTTATCCAGGCTTCAGTCAGTCCTTCCAAGAGACACATCCTTGTCTGTGTGGCCAGACACTTCCCTTAAGGGCAGAGGAAAAGAACAAGTTGTTTGCAGAGGGTATATTACAAAAGGAACTTTACATGTCTTTTCTCCTGTACTCCTCCCCCAAAACCTGACAAATATGGGTCTGGGTAAATATACCCGTTTTGTAGGTCGATGAGCAGAGCTTGGCAAGGAAGCACAGGTAGGATGTGAACCCATGCCCAATATCAGCAGTCTTAGGACTCCTGGAAGAAGATCGGAGGTGGGGGGTTCAGTGCCAGTGGTTAATTAAGGGAGAGGTGTAGGGGGAGAGGGGGGAAGGGAGCAGAGAACAGAGGGGAGGATAAGAAGGATGAGGTCTCAGCCAGCGACCAGCAGCAGCCTGCTTCCAAGGGGCGGAGGGGGTGGGACTCTGGAATGTGAATTGCACCCCAGTCAATCCCCCTGGGCCAGTCGGGTCATTGTGCATCAGCTGCCAGAGGGAAGGATGTGTCATCTTTCCGGCAGCGCAGCTTCCATTCATCAGGGGCAGTTTGCCAGAGGAGGTGGCTGGAGCCACTATCAGTGACCCCTCCCCCCTAGTATACTTACGCACAGAGCGGCTGGGAGAGGGGTGGCTGGCCCGAGAAAGGATCTCTCTCAGCAGGCTCACCTCCTGGCCATCCAGAGCAAGACTGTCCTACTGCAGGAGGGAGAGGCAGGGCTGATGGGCACATTTGTAGCTTGGCTGGCCCATGTTTCTTTGGTCGATGGAGTCCTCACGGCACCCGCCAGTGAAGCCTGTCCCTTCGTGGATAATGCTAGAGCCCCCACAGCTCCCCACCCTTCTCCATCCCCCTCCACTCACCCACTTAGGGTCTTTCCACAGAGATCCGCCCCTCCATTAGGTTTCCACGCCTCCTCTGCTTTTGCCAAGTTGGGTCCCTCAAACCTATTTATTTCCCATGAAGATGAGATCCAACAGCAGGCAGATGACTCACTGTTTCTGGTAAGTTCATCATTCCGAGATGCCTTGGGCTCTGAAGGCGACTTGGAGTCTGAGATTTACAACTCTCTCTCTCCATGTCCCACATTATCCTGGAACCGTGGGCCAGTCTCTTCCTGGCTAACCCCTACGTCCTCCCCACCACCACCCAGGGTTCCTTCAGCTCAAATCCCCAGCCAGCCGGCATCTCTGTTGGGATGGGGGAATTGGGCTAATCAGACTGGCAGTGGTTGTTAAAAGACCAGGAGTTTGAGGGCTTCCCCGGTGGCTCAGTGGTGAAGAAGCCAGCTGCCAATACAGGAGACACGGGTTCGATCCCTGATCCAGGAAGATCCCACATGCCCTGGAGCAACTAAGCCCGTGTGCCTCAACTTGTGAACCCGAGCTCTAGAGCCTGTGCTCCGCAACAAGGGAAGCTACCACAGTGAGAAGCCCGCGCATCACAACTAGAGAGTAGCGCCAGCTCTCCGAAACTAGAGAAAAGCCCACACAGCCACGAAAACCCAGAGCAACCCAAAATAAATACATAAATAAAATTATTTTTTTAAAAGGCCAGAAGTTCTTAAAGTTCTGTCTCTGGCCACCTTTATTCCTACATCTGTAATCATTAAATTAATTTTTTTTTAACTAATAATTATTGAAAATTTCCTGTCTGGCATAGTGTCTTCCAAGGGCTTCCTAGGTGGCCGTATTGGCAAAGAACCTGCCTGCCCATGCAGGAGATGCAAGAGACTCGGGTGGGATCCCTGAGTCGAGAATATCCCCTGGAGAGGGGAATGGCAACCCACTCCAGAATTCGTGCCTGGAGAATCCCATGGACAGAGGAGCCTGGCGGGCTACAGTCTATGGCGTCACAAAGAGTCGGCTGAAGCGGCCTGGCCGCACGCATGGTGTCTTCCATGCTCTCTCATTTAATCCCTACAGCCATCCTATAATGTCGGATCTTTTAATATCACCTCGGGCCCAGCAACAGGGAGTCAGGTTTCAAGGGGTTTCAGGGTTCCCCCAGCCACCCAGGGAGCCCGAAGCTTTGCATCAGTGACTCTGCCTCCTAAGCTTACTTCTATAACAGCAGCCTTCAGACAGCTGCCCCTGCCCTGCCGTGTGGGGCGGCCCAGGACATCAAAGACCCGGGTGTGCAGAGACTTCCCTGAGGGTCCAGTGGTTAAGACTCTGTGCTTCCACTGCAGGGGGTACGGGTTCAGACCCTGGTGAGGGAGCTAAGATTCCACGTGCTGCTCGGTGTGGGTGAAAAAAAAAAGCCCAGGCGTAGGATTTCCTGATCAGAGGGGCTAGCTCTGCTTTCGTCTTTCTTTCTGAAGCCAATAAGAAAAGCTGCATCTGTGGCTTAATGTGACTCCCTGACACTGCCTTTATCTACTGAGGCAGAAAAGTCATCAACATCCAGGCAGCGTGGTAAAAGTCAGAGCCGAAAGACCTCTGGCCACAGGTCAGTTGGAAAAAACCCCACACTGTTCCTTCCTTGGGGAACAAGCAATTCCCAACCGTGGTTCCCGCACCCCTGGGCGTGGGGTGGGCAGTGGAGAGACGGAGGAAGAGTGTTAATTACTCTCTCCCCTGGTCCTCACACCACTGCCCAATCCACACCCCCTGCATCCAACAGAGTGAAGCCACAGGGCTTTTTCTGGGCGGGGCCCCAGAAATGGGCCTTTGTATGTGAGGAGGGTTATAGGGTTGGAAGGAAAGGGAAGGGTCAGGCGATGGGGTGAGGGGCAGAGGACCCCCGGATATGATGCTAGTCTCTAACTGTATCTTCCTTTCCCCAGGTTACAACCATCCTGCTCTCATGAAACTCGTCCAACAGCCTCAGAATATGGTGAGTGCCCGGGGTTGCATTCATGGAGATTCAGAGGGTCACTGGGGCAGCCTTTGGAAATGGTCCATCCATTGAGTCCTCCCTGAAATATTTGTTGAGTCCATCCTGTGTGCTAAGCCCTTGGAACACCTTGCCAACACAGTGCCCTGCTCCTACGGAGGCAGCCAGTTAACCACACACATAAGCAGAGAATCGCAGCCATACAAAGCGCTACCGAGCAAGGCAAGACAATGATCATGGTAATAATGAACAATAATTAAGAGCATAATACATATAAACACTGTGGCTGGCACAGATCGATTATTGCCAAGTCCCTGAGGCGGCTGCTTTTGTTATCCCTGTTTTTACAGATGAGGGAACTGAACACAGAGAGGTTAAGTATTTGTCCAAAGTCACACAGCCAGAAGAGGTGCTGGAAATAAAAAGCCCAAGGGAGCTGGGCTCTTTAGGGATGGATGGGCTGGGAGTTGGGGAAGAGTGGTCCCTGTAGGGAGTGGAGGGTGGGAGGGAGAGGTGCAAGGGGCTTCAGGAACAAAAGAGGGCAGGGCAGCCGGATCAGAAGAGCCCGGAAGGGTCCAAGTGTGACTGGGGCAGCAGGCAGGGGCCGGGGGCACTTTCTCATGTTTGGCGTTGCTACCGTCTGGGGCTGGATTCTTCTCGGTGGTGGGGCCGTTGATTGATGACGCTGGCTGTGACACGCGTGGGGATGTGCACACACGCTAAGCGTACTGTGTGTGTGTGTTTGGTCGCTTCAGTCCTGTCCGACTCTTTGCAACCCCGTGGACCGTAGCCCGCCAGGCTCCTCTGTCCACAGGGTTCTCTGGGCAATGCCCTCCTCCAGGGGATCTTCCCGACCCACGGATGGAACCCAGTCTCCCTGGGTGTGCAGACAGATTCTTTACCATCTGAACCACCAGGGAAGCATACTACTGAATGAATTTTCCCCTGTAACCCAGTGTTTCTCAACTTTTTATTCCCATTATGTCTCGCTTAAGGAGCTTTTTTTTTTTTGGCTGCACCTTTCTGCATGTGGGATCTTAGTTCCCCAACCAAGACTTAAACCCACACCCCGTGTAATAGAAGCACAGTCTTAATCACTGGCCCACCAGGGAATTCTCTCAGGAGGCTTTTAGACATTGTTTTGCTAATTGTCCTCCCGAACCACGAAATGTTAATACCACCCTGTTTTAGTTTCCTGTTGCCGGTATCGCAAACTACCACCAGCCTAGGGTTTTAAGACAACAGCCATTTATGGGCTCACAGATCTTGTGGGTCTAGAATCCGGTGAGCAAAGCTGAATGCTCTGCCTAGCAGCTCACGAAGCTGAGGTCAGCTCGTAGCTGGAGGCTCCGGGGGAGGATCTGCTTTGGGGCTCTTTCAGGTCGTTGGCAGAGTTCGTTTCACGTGGTCCCTCCACCATCAGGCCAGCAACATATGATCCAGCCCTCTTTGTATCCCTTCTCTGCCTCTGCCCTGAGCAAAGGGCTCATGTGGTTGCACTAAACCCACCCAGAAAATCTAGAACTGTCTCCTTTCTGAGCTGAATAGGAAGCTTAATAACATCTGCAAAGCCCCCTCTGCTATGTAACACATTCACAATTGTGGGGATGGGATAAGAGTGGGGTGTCTTCTTGGAAGCCATAATGGTGCCCACCACACACCTATGGTGTATATATGGTATATATACGTGTATGAAGAAGTGTGAAGTGTTAGTCACTCAGCTGTGTCCAACTCTCTGTGATCCCACGGACTGTAGCCCACCAGACTCCTCTGTCCTTGGAATTCTCCAGGCAAGAATACTGGAGTGGGTTGCCATTTCCCTCTCCAGGGGATCTTCCTGACCCTGATCGAGCCTGCATCTCCTGCATTGCAGGCGGATTCTTTAACGCTGTAATTCTTTAACCATGGAAGCCTCCCCTTACTTCTAACAGCACATAGCCAGAATCGTAATGCGTGTGCTTTTTATCTCGTCTGGCTTATTTCACTCAAAATCCATCTGGAGATGTGTCCTTGGTAGCCAAAGGGCATCCATCCTCCCGGCTTTAATTGTTCCATTGTGTGAACTGTTCCATTGTGTGAACGCGCTGTAATTAGCATCCTACCTACCGTGGATGAGCATCTGAGTCACTTCCCATGAAGGCCACTGCTGTGGACCTTCCCGTGTGTCTGCTGGTGACACAGTCTTGCGTCCCACGATACAAGGTGCGGACAAAACCAGTCCATCTCTGCAGCAGTGTGTGCACATGCTCAGCCCCAGCAGATCCTCAGATCCCAGGACAGTTTTCCGTCCGGCTACTTCCCATCCACCCCCCGCCCCGGGCCCCCTGTGTCGTTAGGGCTTCCATTTCTCTCAGAGTGTGACATCATGTCCACACATAAGGGGTGTGATTCCCAAAAAGAAATCAAAGAAAGACAGGAAGACTGAAAGCCTGACCCCGGCAGGAACCAGCTCCCCAGCTTTTTATATATTTTTAAAATATTTATATATCTGACTGTCTTGGGTCTCTGCTGCAGCACATGGATCTTTGTGTGTGTCGCGCAGGATCTTTGGTTGCAGTGCATGGACTCCCTGGGCTTCCCCAGGGAGTGGGTCAGTGGGTAAAGAATCCGCCTGACAAAGCAGGAGTCGCAGGAGCTGCGGGTTTGATCCCTGGGATGGGAAGATCCCCTGGAGGAGGGCAAGGCAACCCACTCCAGCATTCTTGCCTGGAGAATCCCACAGACAGAGGAGCCTGGCGGACTACAGTCCATGCGGTCGCAAAGAGTTGGCCACGGCTGATGCGACTGAGCACGCACACACTCTCTAGTTCAGTGCGCAGGCTCTAGAGCACAGGCTCAGTAGTTGCGGCAAAGCTCCACGTCACGTGGGATCTTAGTTACCCAGGGAGGAATCGAACCCACTTCCCTGCACTGCAAGGAGGATTCCTAACCACTGGACCAGCAGGGAAGTCCCCTCTCCAGCCTTAAAGAAGCAGCAGAAGATAACAGGAAAGAACTCAGCTCTTCTTTACCTGTGGGTGGTATGCCTGCCTGGGAGGGACCTGGGGATGGTTCTCACCTTTGATGGGTTGACAAATTCAGGGGCTGCTCTGGCAGAAGCCTCGTCCCCCTACCCCCCAAACCCAGGGTGTCTGGCGAGGCCTGTTGGTGTCTCCGAGCGTGTGTTTACATTCAGAGCCCAGCTTTGTTTCGAAACGTTCTGCAGATCCCAGATGCCTCAGCAGTTGGTGCTAAAAAACTGTGTCAACAAACACGCCAGACACATTTGCCGTGTCAGCTGCCTCCGGAGGCAGAGTGGCCCCAACAGCACGTGACTTCCAGGCCCAGGGATTCTGATTTGCGGGGACGGGGGGTGGGGGATGCCCTGCGTCCACCTATCCCTGCCAAGAACCTGGACGCCACCCCTCATCCTCCCTTCCCCCACCCAGGCAGGGACCAGTCCTAGCTCCCCCTCTTCCATTTGGAGTTTCCCATCAGCCCCTCTCCATCTCCCCTCCCACCTCCATGTCCATTCTCACCTCCTCCAAACCATCCTCCAAACTGCTGTGTGCCTGGAACCTCTCCTGGTACCCACTGCCTTCAGGATGCCTCCCAGCTCCTCCTCTTCACATGCAAAGCCCTTTGTGATCCGCCTCCTGCTTCTTCAGCCTCAGTTTCTTTCTTTTTTTTTTAAAATTAGCTTATTTATTTTTTTGACTGCATTGGTCTTCATTGCCGCAAGCAGACTTTCTCTAGTTGCAGCGATCGGGGGCCACTCTTCCTTGCGATGCGCAGGCTTTTCACTGCGGTGGCCTCTCTCATTGCGGAGCATGTGCTGTAGGCACAATGGCTTCCGTAGTTGTGGCACCTGGACTTGGTTGGTCCTGTCATGTGCAATCTTCCCGGAGCAGTGATTGAATCTGTGTCCCCTGCATTGGCAGGCGGATTCGCATCCATTGTACCACCAGGGAAGTCCCAGCCTCATTTCTTGACATCTGTTCACTTAATGATGGATGGAATACCTACTGTGTGCTGGGCACTGTCCTTGGTGCTGAGCTTGATGACACGATCACGGTCTAGGTTACAGTCCAGAATAGTCTGGACCAGTGTCTGGTTCACAGATCAGATCTGCCTAGATCGCCACCTAGACCATAGTCCGGATCAAGGTCTAGATCACAGTCTGAGCTGATGTTGTTCTTGCAGAGGGCTGGGTGTGGGACAGGGAGACTGGCACAGCCTTAGAAAAGTGACCATTGACCGCTGCAAGCTCAGCAGAGTACATCTGAGGCGTCAGACAGGACGACCTTGATTGACGTCTTCCAAACTCTTAGCAAGAGATGCGCTCAGGTGGTGCATGGTGTTTTACCTGTCCTGGACAGGCTACTGCCAAGTCATTGAAGTTCTGAGATGGTCCTTATCAACCCTTTTGTACCCCAACCACATCATCTATAATTCATGTGCCAGGTCACCTGGATCTAACCAGTTGCAGTTAGAGCTTCTTATGTCCCCGGGGCGGGCTCATCACACTGCTCACGGGTTATACAATAATTATTGGTCATGTCATATGCCTGGTCACTGCAATGAATGATGAGTGCCGACTGACATCCGTGGTGCCTTGGCTGGGCTGGCCGGAGGGCAGCTGACCTTGTCAGCTAAGACATCAGTGTGACCTCCGGGCCTTTCCACCTGCGTGATTCTGTCCTTCAGGATGAGCTCCTGCCTCATTCATAGGCTGTGTCCTCTCACTGGTTCCTGACGAGCACCCAGGAAGGCATCCTCATTTTCTCAAATAAGGACCAAAGAGGTTAAGTGACTTGCCCCAGGGTGCACAGCCGCTTAAACCAAGCCCATTCTCCTCCTTCTGCACGTTATAGCTGCTGAATCTGATGGCAAGGATTCTAGAAACCTGTCCTCAATTGGTTCTGCTACCTTTGCTGCTGAAAAAGAAAAACCAACAGAGGCACAAGGCTGCCACGAAGTCCAGCGGGCCACGCCGAATTGCAGGAGGATGGGTGCTAGGGCCCGCCTGTCGTTGAGTTTCCTCCTGTTTGGATTTGCACTGAGTTTGTTTACACAGCTGAGTCCGAGAGAGAGGGGTGCGTGAGACTTTCCAGGTTCAGTCAGTCCTTCCTTCCTTTTTAACTCGACTTGCAGGATCTTAGTTCCTGGACCAGGCATTGAACCTGGGCCCCTCGCATTGAAGGGCTTCCCTGGTGGCTCAGAGGGCAGAGAACCTGCTTGCAGTGCAGGAGATGTGGGTCAGGAAGATGCCCTGGAGGAGGGAATGGTAACCCTCTCCAGTATTCTTGCCTGCAGAATTCCACGGACAGAGGAGCCTAGCGGACTATAGTCCAGGGGGTTGCAAGCAGTCAGACATGACTGAGCAATTAACACTTTCACTTGCTTTGAAAGCATGGAGTCTTAACCACTGGACCATCAGGGAAAATCCCCCAATCCACTTCTTGATGACCTCATTGCTTATTCACTGTGCAGACCCCACTCAGACTCTTGCTGACCCTTCAGGGGGCCCTGGCTGCACCTGGAGAGACAGATCAGCTCTGTTCTTCTCCCCATTTGCATTTCCATTTGCATCTTTTCCATAAGGGTGGACACAGAAGGTACAGGACTCAGGTACAGGACTGTGGCCTTTCCACATGCCATTTTACCAGCAATACAACATTGTCATCAGCTAATGTACTTTTCATTTGCTTAACCTAATTTTGGCATTTAGAGTGGTTCTCCCTTTTGTTGTAAGTGGTTCTCCTTTTTGCTTCCTCGTTTCCTGGGTTTCAGAAGCGAGTGTCTATATAGCGTCGGGTGTGCACAGTTGATTTCCTTACAGAGGGAATCCTTCTCTGGACCCACATCTGTCAGAAAAAGGAAGTTTCCTAACACTGCCTCTCTCATAGGCAGCTCTTTCATTAGCCAGCTCCTACATCAGATTGCTCCCCTACGCCTCACTCTCTTTAAAACTTACAGCTACTGAGACCTCTCTCTTTCCCCGTTTTTTTTTTAATTAAAGTATAATTCATATGAGGTCAGATCCATCATTTGCCTTATACAGTTCTATGGGTTTCAACAAATGCATACTCTGGGAATTCCCTGGTGGTCCAGGATGGTTCCATGGCAGGGGGCATGGGTTTGATCCCTGGTCAAGGAACTAAGATCTCACAAGCCACCCAGTGGGGCCAAAAAATAAATAAAACTTAAAAAAAATTTTTAACATTTCAAATTTATTTGCTAATTTTTAAAATAATTGTATTTATTGTTTATATTTTTGGCTGTGCTGGGTCTTCACTGCTGTGCAGGCCTTTCTCTGGTTGCAGGGAGCAGGGGAGACCGTAGTTGCAGTGTACGGGCTTCCCGTTGTGGGGGCTTCTTCTGTTGCAGAGCACAGGCTCTAAGGCGTGCTGGGAATCTTTGGAAAAGCAGGCAGGCAGTTTGTCAATGTGAGGCTGCTGTCAAGGCATCCTCTTAAATAAAACTTTTTGGTGTTGTTCAGTCGCCAAGTCGTGTCCTACTCTTAGCAACCCCATGGACTGGTATGCCAGGCTTCCCTGTCCTTCACTGTCTCCAGGAGTTTGCTCAAATTCATGTCCATTGAGTTGGTGATGCTATCTAACCATCTCATCCTCTGCCACCCCCTTCTCCTCCTGCCTTCAGTCTTTCCCAGCATCAGGGTCTTTTCCAGTGAGTCAGCTCTTCACATCAGGTCACCAAAGTATTAGAGCTTCAGCATCAGTCCTTCCACTGAATATTCAGGGTTGATTTTGTTTAGGATTGACTGGTTTGATTTCTTTGCTGTCCATGGGATGCTCAAGAGTCTTCTCCAGCACCACAGTTCAAAAGCATCAATTCTTCAGCATCAATTCTTTCTTTATAGTGATAGTGCAGTACCCCAGCCAAGAAACTGACACTTTGTTTTCAACCCAGAGCCATCCTAGTGGATTTCTCTAACAGTGCAGGAGAATCTGTCATTCCTGGAAGTGTGAAACACACCCACTCTGAAAACCATCGCCAGTGGGCGGGACCCGGGTCACGCAAGAAATCACGGCTGGCACTCTGGGTTTTTTGCAGAGCACGTTCATCAACAGACCTGCCTTGGGAATCCTTCCTCCGGAGAACTTTGTGGAGAAGCTCCGAGAGTCCCTGCTCTCGGTGAGTGAGTCCCCGGAGACAGACCGCCAGTGTGAGGACCCACCTCCGCCTTCCCCACCGCTAGCCCTTGGCTCTGATCTCCAGGAGGCCAGAGTAGCTGGGAAGGAAAGGGTTGATACCCATAGCAATTAAGGATGGGGTGTTTCTGCATTAGTCTCACTCTTCCTGCTGTTTCTTTCAGGATGAGTCTTTTTAAATTTTTCCTTGCAAGAAAAGCTGGGATCCCTCGTGTGCTGGGGGGTGGGGTAGGGGGAAAGGGAACTCAGTGGAACTTAAATTAGCATGGGCCCTCCCTGACTTTGGGTTTCAGTGGCCACAACGATCAGTGTCCTTCTGAATCCTGACTTCCCACCTGTAAAATGTGCAGGCGGTGGCGGGGAGGGCCATCAGGAGGGACCTATGGGCTTTATTTACCTTTTCTCCTCTCTGGCCTCCAGCCCCCAGGCCCTTCTGGGCTTCTCACTCACCCTCCCAGTCTGACTGTGTCCAGGACTCCATACCTGGTTCCCTGCCCGCATGTAGCGGCCCAGCTGGAGGGAGGAGGGAGAGGGGAGCCCACGACTGTTTCCCTCCCCACAGGTGGCTCCCAAAGGGATGTCCCAGCTCATCACGATGGCCTGCGGCTCCTGCTCCAACGAGAACGCCTTCAAGACCATCTTCATGTGGTACCGGGTGAGGTTTGGGGCATGCATGTGTGCGCATGTGCGCACACACACACACACACACACAAAGGCTCCTCAGCCCCCAGCCGCACACTCAGTCCTTGTCCAATTATTCACCCCAGTTGGCCAGAATATTGGACATCAGTGACCATGTCCAAAATCCAGGGAGGGCCACTGGCTAGTCAAGCCTTTCTGAATATCCCAGCAGAGAATGGTACAAAACCTCCCCAGTGTGCCTGGAATAACATACCATCTCACAGATCTTCACTGTTGCCAACAGAACAGGGATGAGCCTTATCCGTCCATCTATTTCATCGCGAGCACTGTGAACAGTCTTGTGCCTCCATCCAAACGTGTAACATCAACATGTGTGAGCAGCTCTTGAGAAAGCATCCCCTCATTGCCTAGATGTGGGTGCAGAGCGGCAGCTCTCCCTGCCCCAGGGCATCTCTGAGAATCTTTTCTGTTCCATTTTGTCAGGGCAAGGAAAGAGGCCAGTCAAGTTTCTCCAAAGAGGAGCTGGAGACGTGCATGGTCAACCAGGTGAGCCCAGCACCCGCTCCGCCCCGTGTGTGGGGTCCTGTCCTCCTCAAGTCGGAGGGTCGTCTCGGTTTGTAAAAAAAGATGCAACATCTGTGAAGTGCAATAAAACCAGCTGCATCTCATATCCCATTTGGAGATGAACAAAGGAAAACGACGAGAGGGTATGCTGGAGTTTATGGGAGAAGGTGATGGTTTTCCCTGGGAGTCTTGGGGACCCAGTGGAGTTGAGCCAGGTCAACCTCCCAGAGACTCAGGGGCCCCCAAGGTGGCCTCTGCAATGTCCCCAGCGGCTCTTCCTGAGTCACCTGGAGGCAGGTCTGATTTCCTTGCCAAGTGGAAGGTCAGAAGGCAGTGCTGCTGTGCCTTTTGCTTAGGGCCAGGAGAGGCCTAGGCATTCGTGAATTCCTCCTGCGCCCAGGGTCAGCCCTGGAGGGCCAGGGAAAGCTGGTTTTCCTCCCATCCTGCTGGTCCAAAGCCTGGGCGTGTCCTGTGAGGGGCCCAGCTCAGCATCACGTCATGGGAGGCAGGTACCACCCCCACACCTGGCCCATCTACGGGCTGTGGGAACCAGAGCCACTGAACCAGGGAAAGGAGGGGGGCTGGGAGGAGCTGGAAGAGCCCGTCGATGGCCGGCCGGAGTGGTGATGGAAAGGAGAAAGGGGGTGGTGGGGGCCCTGGGGCACCACGCCCACCCACCTTCAGGCTTGCCGAGAAAGATGGGCGCCCGTGATGCAGAACTTGGGAGAAGACAGAAGTTCAGAAATGTATCTCATGAAACCTCTTGATTTAAAAAAAAAGAAAAAAAATCCACAGGCTGGATATTGACCTCTGGTGTCCAGTTTGTGACTTCCACCTGCAAGGGGACCCCTGGTTCTCCTGAGACTTCATACTCCTCGAGGTCCACGCGGGCAGCCGTCTAGGTCCCTGGCTCACGGTCCTGACCAATGGCTGTTTCCTGGTTCCAGGCCCCCGGGTGCCCCGACTACAGCATTCTCTCCTTCATGGGTGCTTTCCACGGGAGGACCATGGGTAAGGAGGGCCGTGGGATCCGGAGGCGGCAGGTAGGGTAATAACAACAACACAGTGATCGCTGCCTCTGACCGGGCACAGCAGCTTCCGCTTATGGTCTCCTTGATTGCATACCACTCCCTGCAGACAAGGGGTGGCTGTTCCCACTTCGCAGATGTGGAAACTGAGGCTCAGCAAGGGAAGGAACATTCAAGGCCATTCAGTGGCAGAGCTAGGATTTAAACACTCGCCTCTCTGCCTTCAAAGAATTAGTCTGTGATAAATCAGAAAGCATCGACACATACACACACACAAAGACACAAGCGTGCGCCTTTAGCTTCAGGATGTTCCCAGAACTGGGGTTCTGCGGGCACCGGGTCTCCCCAGGCTGCCCCATATCATTCTCAAAAACAGTCCGGCAGAAACCAACACAATATTATAAAGCAATTTTACTCCAGCTAAAAAGTAAATTTAAAAATAAATTAAAAGCATTTGCTGGAGTCCTACTTTATTGAAGGTACCATTCACTGAAGGCACAGCAGTTCTGAAATGAAAAAAGTACAATCTTTGCCTTCAAAAAAATCTAATAATTAGATAAAGACTTCGGGAATTAAGAGTACATCTTGACCTGCCCGAAAGTTTTTATAACTACTGTGATTAAAACCATTCATGAAAGTTTAGAGAGACCGTGTGATGGATTTGTTGTTGTTGTTCAGTCGCTAAGTAGTGTCCAGCTCTTTGCAACCCCATGGACTTCAGCACACCAGGTTTCACCACCTCCCAGAGTTTGCTCCAATTCATGTCCATTGAGTCGGTCACATAATGATGTAATGAATTGGTGATGTAATGAAGTAATGGATAGATGTGTTAATTCTGTTTATGAGAAGCCCAATCTTAATTTTCTGTGATCCAAAACATGAAATTTAATAAGTTCACAAACTTTGAAATTCTAAAGAACAACAACAAAAAAAAACAGTCCACCCTCCTTCCCCGAGTCAACCTCTCCTCTTCTGTTCTGCTGGGCTTAGGTTGCTTAGCAACCACGCACTCCAAAGCCATTCACAAGATCGACATCCCCTCTTTCGACTGGCCCATCGCACCGTTCCCACGGCTGAAATATCCTCTGGAAGAGTTTGTGAAAGAGAACCAACAAGAAGAGGCCCGCTGTCTAGAAGAGGTAATACCCGGACCCTCCTGGTCCTCTCAACACCCCGTCCTGACCCTCAGCACCCCAAGAATTAGCCCAGATAAGAGGAGTGCACACAGTGTCTGGGGATCCATGTGGCACTCCCTGGCTGGGACAGAGGGATAGGGAGCCACGTGTCCCAATGTTCCATGTTAGGAAAGGTAACGAGACACTGGTTTTGCCACCCAGCCTCCACCACCCGGCTTCTGGTACCCACTTCTGTATCATTTAAGTTTCTTTGGGGACAAGCTTCACTGACTCCAGAGTAAGAGAAAATGAACTGATGGAAAGACTATGGGACAGCTCATAGGAAAACTGATTCCAGGGGATCCTCTAGTCCACTGTGTGTCAGTCTTCTCCAGAATCCTGGGGCTTTGGGGGGAGCCCTGGAGGTTGCAGGAGGTGGGGGAGGGACTAAGGATGGGCGACTCTGGTCACCACACCTTCACTTCAACCAACAGCCCCCACTTGATCTGTCCCAGATATTAGGGTTCCATGTAAGACGTTGAAAGGATTCTGTTGTTTGAGGGGGCAGGTGGGGAGTGGCTATCACTCTTCAGATTTGGATTTGAGCTCAAAGAAGGCTGGTTTGCCTCTTACCCACATCTTTCTTTTGAATTAATAGGTTTCACCTAGTAGGTGTGAAGCTAGGTGCTAGGTATTTCGTTGTTGCGGTGATTTAGTCGCTAGGTTGTATCTGACTCTTGCAACCCTATGGACTGTAGCCTGCCTGGCTCCTCTATGGGATTTCCCAGGCAAGAATATTGGAGTGGGTTGTCATTTCCTGCTTCAGAGGATCTTCCCAACCCAGGGATCAAACCCACATCTCCTGCATTGCAGGCAAATTCTTTACCTCTGAGCCACCTGGCTATTTAGTGGTAAATAAAAGAAGCAAGATGATGGAGTCCAAGCAAAATAAGACCAGCCACATGTCCCCACAGTCGTCATATTTTTTTCTAGTCATCACATTTTTAAAAAGTGAAAAGAGCTGGGTGATTAATCTTAATGACATTTTATTGAACGCAGTGTATCCCAAATATTACTGTGTCAATATGTCATTAATATTTTTAAATTATCGATGAGATGTTTTATATTCTTTTTTGGTTTTAAACCTTCAAACTGCTGGGTGTATTTTAGACATAAAGCACATCTCATTTTGGACCAGCTGCATTCCAAGTGCTGGATAGACATGTGTCTCTTCTGCATCCTATCAGAAAGCGCAGATTAGTCAGAAACACAGTGCTGGACAAATAAACGAGAAAATAGTCATGCGATGACAAATTGCAAATGACACTCTGAAAGCAAAGAAAAGTATCTTACAACTTCCTTGGGGTCGTTGGCGAGGCAGAGACCAGAATTACATCATCCACATAGATGATTTTTCTTTCATTCTGCATCACAGAGAAAGATTGCCCTTGTTACTTTATGTGGTTTGGGTTTTTTAAATTAAGTATAATTATTAAATTATTAATGAATTATCACAATTACTATTCCTTAATTATTTATAAGATGATGCCTGTTTTAGAACAAGACTCCAAGAAATGTAACCACTTGGGGAAAATCAGATGCTTTTCTTACAACTCCATCACTGTTAACAGTTAAAAACTTTTTTTTCTTGTAATGACCTATAGGGAAGGAGAATCTGAAAAAGAATATGTATGTGTGTGTGTGTGTGTGTGTGTGTGTGTGTGTGTAACTTAGTTTGCTTTATACCGGCAACTAACACAACATTGTAAATTAACTACACTTCAATGTTTTTTTTAATGATTTTAAGGTAGAAGGGTGCTCATTTCTCCACATACTCTCCAGCATTTATTATTTGTACACTTTTGATGGTGGCTACTGTGACTGGTGTGAGGTTGTAACTTACTGTACTTTTGATTTGCATTTCTCTAATAATTAGTAATGTTGAGCATCTTTTTATGTGCCTGTTGGCCATCTGTATGCCTTCTTTGGAGAAATGTCTATTTAGGCCTCCTGACCATTCTTTGATTGGGTCATTTGGTTTTCACTGAGTTATGTGAGCTGTTTGTATATTTTAGAAATTGAGCCCTTGTCTGTTGCATCATTTACAAGTATTTTCTCCCAGTTCATTGGTTGTCTTTTTGTTTTGCTTACGGTTTCTTTCGCTATGCAAACGCTTATACATTTGATTAGGTCCCACTTATTTATTTTTGCTTTTATTTCTATTGCCTGGGAGACTGACCTGAGAAAATGTTGCTAAAATTTATGTCAGGGAATGTTTTGCCTCTGCTCTGTCCTAGGAGTTTTGTGGTGTCGTGTCTACGTCTAAGTCCCTAAGCCATTTCGAGTTCACTTTGTGTGTGGCATGAGGCTGTGTTCTAACATCACTGACTGCCGTGCGGCTGTCCAGCTCTCCCAGCACCACTCGCTAAAGAGAGACTGTCTTTTCTCCACTGTATATTCTAATGATAAGACACCATGACATCTTCAACATAACTCCCAGGGGTCCACAGCACCCCCCATGCCCATCCTCCTCGGGGGCTGCCCAAGAGCCCCCACGAGCTCTTGTCCCGTCCCGCTTTGGAATCCAGGTGGAGGACCTGATCGTGAAATACCGGAAGAAGAAGCGGACGGTGGCTGGCATCATTGTGGAACCCATCCAGTCTGAGGGCGGAGACAACCACGCATCGGACGACTTCTTCCGGAAGCTGAGAGACATCTCCAGGAAGGTCAGTGCTGGGGTCGTTTAGTTGGTTTTCCAGAGCAAACAGATGAGCCTGGACTCCTTGTAAACTTCCAGATGTTCACAGGCTACCTGTGGGCTTGGTGCATAGAAAACTTGGGGCTGATGGCAGGACAGGGAATTCTTCCCTAAAATCTTCTTCCAAAGTCAGCCTCTAACCTGCCGTCTTAGTTGGTGGTGGTGGTTTAGTTGCTAAGTCGTGTCTGACTCTTGCGACCCCGTGGACTGTAGCCCGCCAGGCTCCTCTGTCCATGGGTTCTCCAGGCAAGGATACTGGAGTGGGTTGCCATTTCCTACTCCAGGGGATCTTCCCCACCCAGAGATCAAGCCCAGGTCTCCTGCATTGCAGGCAGGTTCCATCTTAGGGAATGCCCAAACAAGAGAACATCCCAGGGAAAGCCTCAGCCCCCTCGTCCCTTTTCTTTGAAGGGATCCTACCTCATCTTTCAGCCCATTGTGGTTAACTCTCCACAGAAACCAAATGAACAAACTTTATTTTAATATCATGTCTATTTTCGGCTTCCTAGATGACCCTGTGGGCTTCCCTTGTGGCTCAACTGGTTAAGGATCCGCCTGCAATGCGGGAGACCTGGGTTCGATCCCTGGGTTGGGAAGATCCCCTGGAGTGGGAAAGGCTACCCACTCCAGTATTCTAGCCTAGAGAATTCCAAGGGGGGGTGGGGTCTCAAAGAGTCAGACATGACTGAGCAACTTTCACTTTCAAATGACCCTAGTGGTAAAGAACCTGCCTGCCAATGCAGGAAGACATAAGAGATGTGGGTTAGATCCCTGGGTCGGGAAGATCCCCTGGAGAAGGGAATGACAGCCCCCTTCAGTATTCTTGCCTGGAGAATCCCATGAACAGAGGATTCTGGCCGGCTACAGTCCACAGGGTTGCAAAGAGTAGGACACAACTGAAGCATTTAGCATGCTCGCATATCTATTTTAATGTGTCTTGCATGTATAGCTGGCCCATCCAAGCAGTCAGTTTATGGATAAAGGTTTTAAAAATTGATCTAAACACAGATGCTAAGTAAATAATAGTCCAGGTAGACTTCCCTTGTGGTCTCCTGGTTAGGACTCTGTGATTCCACTGAAGGGGCAGGGGTTCAATCCCTGTTCCAGGAACTAAGATCCTGCCTACAGCACTGTGTGGCCAAAATTTAAAAAAGAAAAAAATTAAGACCAATAATAATAATAGTCCGGGTGCTGAGCAGAGCTGGCAAACATGGCATCTGAAGTTTGGGAAACGGGGCTGCCTTACAACTGGGACACGCCTCCATCTGAGCACGTTGGCCTACTCAGGGACCAAAGCCAGTGGTTCAAGGAGCATTTGATGTTCCGATTTTGTTCCAGTTGGGCAGTGGGAGGCCACGTGCAGACACAGCCCTGCAGGAACTGACTTCCTAAGCCTTGGTTTGGTTTTGCACAGCCTGAGAACACCGGCTGGGTGTGAGGTTCAGAAAGCAGTGGCGCTTGGGCTGGATTCAGGGATCTGGGTCCAAGGTGGGCGGGCCCAAAGTGGGCAGGTGTGCACGGTGTTCATCTCTCCCTAACCCCGGCTCCGCCAGCACGGCTGTGCCTTCTTGGTGGATGAGGTCCAGACTGGAGGAGGCTGCACTGGCAAGTTCTGGGCCCACGAGCACTGGGGCTTGGATGACCCGGCGGACGTGATGACCTTCAGCAAGAAGATGATGACCGGGGGCTTCTTCCACAAGGAGGAGTTGAGGCCCAACGCTGTGAGTGGGGACCCTGCGTGCCTGCCCCCCCATCTTTGCTTTCCAGGGCAGGGGGCGTTGTTTTCTCTTAACTGCTTCTTTCTCACCAACAAGGCACTCAGTAAATACCTAATGTCTCACAGAAGTTTCCGAAGCCTTATTTCTCATCAACCTAGTTTAAAGGCAATGGTTACAGTCACCCTAGCTCTCTCTGCAGGGTTGACTTTATAGCAGTCTATCATCAGGCTTCTAATTTTTCTCTCTGTGCACAAGCAAAAATATTGTCAATAGCTGCTGCCGTGAACAGAGCCTTTGTCTCTGACCCAGTTCTAAATACTCTGCTTGTACTTCTAATCCTTACAACATCTAACCAAGTAAATGTTGTTTTTCTCTGCCATTTTGCTAATGAGGAATCAGGCACAGAGAGGTTAAGTAAGTTGTTTAAGGTCACACAGCCGGTTAAGTGACCAAGTCAAGATATAAAGCCAGAGCTCTTGCTCTTAACCATTTTACTGGAATGCCATATGTACATATAGATTCTCTCTCTCTCATACACACACACACACACACACACACACACACACACACAGAGTCATCAAGGGCCCAGGGTCCCTCCTTCCATCATTCCTGCATGTAGCTTCTACCCTCAAGGTCACCTCATGATCCAAAATGGCTACTTGGGCTCCAGCCCTCAAGTTTCAGCTCGAGGCAGTAGGAAGGAAAAAGGAGGCCAGGACAAAGTGGCCCACTTCTCGTCTTTATGCAGCCTTCCCAGAAATCCCACAACATTTCTGTTTCTACCGCTTTTGCCTGAGATCTGTTCGCGCGGCCACTCTTAACTGCAGGGGGGCGGGGGGCAGTGTGTTTCAGTTGGGCTGCACGGGTGCCGGAAAGAGTAGTAAAGCAAGCGGCCTTTAAGGGTCAGGCTGCCGTCAGTCCACTCCTGACTCCACCAAAGCGCTGTGTTTCCACAGACAGACCCCTTAACCTCTCAGAACCCCAGCTCATCCTTTATAAAAAGAAGAGTCGTGGTGATGAGGAGCCAGCTGTCTCAGTTTCCCCAGGGCTGAGGGGTTTTCCAGGGCCTGGATGAGTTGGTGTTCCTAATAGTAGTAACTATAAGACCCACAAGGACTTCCCTTGTAGCTCAGTCGGTAAACAATCTGCCTGAGTGCAGGAGACCTGGGTTCGATCCCTGGGTTGGGAAGATCCCCTGGAGAAGGGAACGGCAACCCACTCCAGTATCCTTGCCTGGAGAATCTCATGGACAGAGGAGCCTGGTGGACTGTAGTCCATGGGGTCGCAAAGAGTCGGGCACGACTGGGAAACTAACACACACGTACATACCTAAGACCCACAGGGCTTTCTCAGTGGCTCAGCGTTAAAGAATCTGCCTCAGTACAGGAGATGCAGGCTCGATCCCGGGGTCGGGAAGATCCACTGGAGGAGGGCATGGCAACCCACTCCAGTATCCCAGCCTGGAGAATCCCGTGGACAGAGGAGCCTGGCAGGCTACAGTCCATGGGGTCGCAAAGAGCCAAACACGACTGAAGCAACTTTAGCACACATGTGTAAGACCTACAAGGTTGCTGTGATGGAGAAAATTTGGTGAGACCATGTATTATCCTCCCAGCCCTTAGCATCTGCTTGCTGAGTTGATCTCTCTCCTCTTAAACGGGGAGAAGTGTGTCTGAGGGTACGTCTGGAACCTTCCTGATACCCCGTGTCTCCTTCTAGCCTTACCGGATCTTCAACACGTGGCTGGGGGACCCGTCCAAGAACCTGCTGCTGGCCGAGGTCATCAACGTCATCAAGCGAGAGGACCTGCTGAACAACGCAGCCCACGCTGGGAAGGTCCTGCTCACGGGGCTGCTCGACCTCCAGGTACTCCGCCACCCACGCCCCACCCCGGCCCTCCAAGACCCCCACCCACAGCTCCCCACGGCCCCCAGGGCAACAGCTGAGCCCTTCAGGGTGACATCGCACCCACTGCCCCAGCGATTCTGAGTAGGCTGTGCCATTTCTGTAGGGAGCACCTTCCTACTCCTCATTTCCAACCTTGTTCCTGGTTCCTGAGCTCCAAGTTTTCTTCTAACATCCTCCTCTGAGTTCAGACATCCCTCCTTTGAGAAACTACCCCAACTCTCCTCTCTCCTTCCCACCCGTGCGCCGCCTGTTCCCTCCCCTGGACCATCTTCTACACCCTGGTCACTCCATAGCGGTGCTCTCCAGGGGGACAGATTGCAAGCTCCTGTCGTCGTTCAGCCGTGTCCGATTCTTTGTGACCCTGTGGACTGCAGCACGCCAGGCTTCCCTGTCCTTCACCATCTCCTGGAGCTTGCTCAAACTTATGTCCATCAAGTCGGTGATGCCATCCAGCCATCTCATCCTCTGCCGTCCCCTTCTCCTCCCGCCTTCAATCTTTCCCAGCATCAGGGTCTTTTCCAATGAGTCAGTTCTTCACATCAGGTGGCCAGAATACTGGAGTTTCAGATTCAGCATCAGTCCTTCCAATAAATATTCAGGATTGACTTTCTTTTGGACTGACTGGTTTGATCTCCTTGCAGTTCAAGGGACTCTCAAGAGTCTTCTCCAGCACCACAATTCAAAAGCATCAGTTTTGCTTACAATCAAGATTGTAAGCTATACACATAATTTCAAAGGTCCTAGTAGCCATAGTAAAAGTTAAAAAGAAGGAGGTGAAGTTAATTTGAATAATTTGACCCATCATATCCAAAATATTATTTCAACATGCCATCAATATAGAAAATACCATGATATTTCACATTCTTCTCATAAGTCTTTGAAACCCAGTATGTATTTTACATTTAGTCGTTCAGTCACAAAGTCATGTCCTACTCTTTGCAACCCCATGGACTGCAGCACACCAGGCTTCCCTTTCCTTCATTATCTCCCAGAGTTTGCTCAAAGTCAAGTCCATTGAGTCGGTGATGCCATCCAACCATCTCATTCTCTGTTGCCCCCTTCTCCTCCTGCCCTGAGTCACCTAAGGCACATCCCAATTTGAACTCACATTTCAACAGCCACATGTGGCCACCTCATTGGACAGTAGAGCTCTCTTTTATAATTATTTGCCTTTGTTGTGTCTCTTCCCTGCACAACACACTCTCCTAGATTTGAGGGTGGGAGATGTTACTGGGAGGAACCAGTGTCTCCAGGACTGGCCAGTCCAGCCCAGTAGTTAGGAGGAGAGCTGACCCTCCCCAGATGTCTGGACAGAAAGAGCCTTCCCTTCCTCTGGGGGCTTGAAGCATCTGGTCCCTGGTGAGCTCAGCAGAACCACTGATGATGATGGTGATGCTAACAGTGCTGTTGATGTTGAAGGGAGGAGGGACAGTAGTGAGAACAGCCTCCAGTGATTGAGACCCTGCTCCGGCCACGTCCTCTAACAGGGGGCCTCATGCATTCCTGGTTAAGTCCAACAGTAATGTTACTGATGTAGACACCACTGTTAGCCCCATTTTACAGATGAGGAAACTGAGGGGTGGAGGGTTATTAACTTGTCCAAAGCTACACAGCTTCTACTGTGCCTTTTCTTTCTTTCTTTTTAAAATGTATCTATTTATTTGGCTGCACTGCTCTACATTGCAGCACACAGGATCTTTAGTTGCAGCACGTGGGATCTAGTTCCCCAACCAGGGATGGAACCCAGGCCCCCAGCATTGGGAGTGTGGAGTCTTGGCTTCTGGACCACCAAGGAGGACTTCCACTGGGGTTTGAACCTGATTTTGGTGACCTTCAAAGTCCATGTTCTTTGCCAGCGTTCACCTCTGACATGATCAAAGACATCATCCTTTTTAAAATTACTTTTCCTTCAATTGAAAATTTGCTCTGTGCCAAGCATTGTGTTAAGTGCATTATCTCATTTAATCCTCAGAATACGATTACTGCATTTTAAGGGAAAATAAATGCAGGATCCTGCAGTTACATTTAAATTTCACAAGTCCAAAGCCCAGGGGAGAAAGGCAAGTACTAGACTTGGTTTCTGTCAGAGGGAAGAGGTAGGAGCTTCAGGGACCAACTTCCTCCTCCCCGGATAGGGATGTGAGAGTTAGCAAATTACAATACAGGACTCTCAGTTAAATTTAAAAGATGGGAACTAATTTTTTTTTTTAGCACAAATATATCCCATGCAATGTTTGGGACATACTTACACTGAAAAATTAGAAGTTGCTTGTCAGGGGCTTCCTTGGTGGGTCATCGGTAAAGAACCCGCCTGCCAAGTCAGGAGACGTGGGTTCCATCCTGATCTGATAAGATCCCACATGCTGGAGCAACTAAGCCCATGTACCACAACTACTGAGCCTGTGCTCTAGAGCCCTGGAGCCGCGACTGCTGAAGCCTCCCTGCCTACAGCCCGTGTTCCGCAACAAGAGTTAGTTAAGTCGCTCAGTCGTGACCCCATGACTGCGGCACACCAGGCTTCCCTGCCCATCACCAGCTCCCAGAGTTTGCTCAAACTCATGTCCATCGAGTAGGTGATGCCATCCAGCCAGCTCATCCTCTGTTGTCCCCTTCTCCTCCCACCTTCAATCTTTCCCAGCGTCAGGATCTTTTCAAATGAGTCAGCTCTTCGCATCAGGTGGCCAAAGTATTGGAGTTTCAGCTTCAGCATCAGTCCTTCCAATGAAGGAAATGGCAACCCACTCTAGTACCCTTGCCTGGAAAATCCCATGGACGGAGGAACCTGGTAGGCTACAGTCCATGGGGTCGCAAAGAGTCAGACACAGCTGAGCGATTTCACTTTCCTTTTTCCTTTCCTTGTACGTGCTCTAGAGATATCTGTTCTTTACAATCTCAGATCGGGGATAAAGATATACAATGCACAGTCCTCAATGTCAAGCCTTCAGGCCTTTCATGACTGTTTAGCCCTTCGGCTAGTGACGTCCTTTCTCAGCAACTCCCTCAAGGCTCTGGTAACAGTCACTAATGGCTTTCCATCAGTCACATCAGTACTTCAACATCTTGTTTTCAAGATGTTTTTCCACGATGTACTTTTTACTGCTCCCAGCCCTTTGCCTGGGGGTGATGAGAAAGTCATTCTTACTTTTCAAAGAAGCCCTGTTAATTATAGTACAGGCCTGTGCATAGCATATTCCCTACAGTACTCGGCAGCAAGAGAGGCCACCACAATGAGAAAACCACGCTCCACGAGTACAGAGTAGCATTCCACGCACCGAAACTAGAGAAAAGCTCACACAGAAAGGAAGACCCAACACAGCCAAAAATAAATAAACAAAAGTTAAAAAAGAAAGTTGCTTATCTGAAATTTATCTGGGTGTCCTGTATGTTTTTCTGGCACCTCTAAGCCAGGACAAGTTGAAGTTAGAAAAATATAATTCTCATTTTCTGGATGGGAATGGGGAGCTTTAAACCCAGGTCTGCCTGATGGCAGGCGCTGAAGGGGTTAAGTGTGGCTGCTGAGACAGCTGAGCCCCTCCAACTGTGCTGCAAGTAGCTTGAAGGGGGATTTCTTTTTCTTTTCTTGGACTGGATTTGCATTTAGACTGAGGCTGGGTGGGAGCAGGTGCTAGAAAAAGCCTCTGGGAAGGATGGAAGCAGAAGGACCTTCCCTTCTGCTGCCCATTCCTTCCCCCATTGCCAGGGTGGCAGGGGAAATGTCAGGCACTTCTTCGTCCCCTGGGGGGACAGCTGGGCCCCCGTTGCAGTTGTCAGTGCTGGAGTGTGGACGTGTCAGGGCCGGCCAGGTCCTGCAAGGATCCTGTTGTTCTGAGGCTGTCCCTGCCCTGAGCCAAGTGGCCGTGAGGTCCACGGGGACTGATGGCTGCCTTGGCTTTTTTCTTTTTTACTGACCTGGGTCTTTGTTGCGCGTGGGCTTTGCTCTGGTTGCGCTGAGCAGGGGCTCACCTCTAGTTGCAGCGTGCAGGCTTCTTATTGCAGTGGCTTCTCTTATTGCAGAGCACGGGGTCTAGGATGCAGGCCTCAGTACCTTGTGGTGCACAAGGCTTAGCTGCCTTGCAGGACATGGGATCTTCCCGGACCAGGGATGGAACCCATGTCCCCTGCACTGGCAGCGGATTCTTAACCCCTGGACCACCAGAGAAGTCTTGCTTTCCTTTGCACTGATGCCGGCCTTGTCTCCCGATTGCAGGCCCGGTTCCCCCAGCTTATCAGCAGAGTCAGAGGGCGAGGCACCTTCTGCTCCTTCGACACTCCAGATGAATCCGTGCGGAATAAACTCATTTCAATAGCCAGAAACAAAGGTAAGACAGCCAGGTGGGGGGAAGTGACCACAGTTCCTGGTCGGGGGCCCAGTGGGGGCACAGAAGGTGAACCTTCACAGGACTAAAAATAGTCTCAATCTCCTTTCTCAAAAGAAGAGAAAGTTATCAGGGAGCTTTCTTTGTATGTTGATTCATGTGGCGATATTCCCTGAGGTAAGTGGTTCCTATGCTGGAAAGGATCAGGAAACCTTCCTTCAAGGAGCTTTCAGTCTAGCAGGAAGGGGTGACATCAAAGAGAATATTTCAGAAACAGTCTATTACAGTTTTAAGTCCTAGGATGGAAGAAAAGGAGCTAGAGAGAAAATAGCTGGGGAAAATATCCAGGAAGTCAGGGAAGGCTTCCTGGAGGAAGTGGCATTTTGCTGGATGAATTGCAGCTGGCCAGGTGAAGAAGGTGAGGAGGAGCGTTTTGGGCAGAGAGAGGGAGGTGTTCCTTTAGCTGGGTGAGATGGGGCTTACAGTGTGACAAGCGACAGAGGCAGCGGCGGGTGAATCAGGTTCAGGTGGATGATGTTCAAGGTTCCGGACTTTCTCCTGAGAGCTATGGGAGCCCTGAAAGTTTTCAGTGGGGGAGATCAGAGTGCCTGCTAGGTGACTAAGCTGGTATCTTTCATGTGGACCATCTTAGAGGATCCCAGCAGCAACCCTGAAGGGTAGGGTAATTCATCTCTTGAGAATGAAAAAAACAAGTCTCAGACACTGTGCAACCTAGGCAAGGACCCCCATCTAGTCAAAGGTGAAGTCACCCTTTAAAATAAGTACATTATTGGGATTCCCTGATGGTCCAGTGGTTAAGACTCTGTGCTTCCCATGCAGGGGGCACAGGTTCTGTCCCTGGTCCAGGACACTAAGATTCCCGCAGGCCATAAATAAATAGATTTTTAAAATAAAATAAGCAGATTCCAGGAACTCCCTGGTGGTCCACTGGTTAAAACTCAGCACTTTCACTGCTGGGACCACAGATTCCATCCCTGGTTGGGGAACTAAGATCCCATATGCTAAAAAAAGATAATAATACGCAGATGCTGTCTCTTGGCCATGCTGACCTGCCCACACTTCTGTAATTTATTTCTTTTTCCATAATTGCATTTATTCAGTTACTTCTGGCCGCACTCAGGCTTTCTCTAGTTGTGGGGAGCAGGGGCTACTCTCTAGCCGCGTGGTGCAGGGGCTTCTCGCTGTGCTGGCCTCTCTCGTGGCGGAGCACGGGCTCTGGAGCACGCGTGGCACATGGGCTTAGTTGCTCCGTGGCATGTGGGATCTTCCTGGACCAGGGATTGAACCTGTGTCCCCTGCACTGTAGGCCAATTCTTAACCACTGGACCACCAGGGAAGCGCTGTCATTTAGCTCTTTACCTATTTTCTCTCCCTGCCACACCGAGTTCCCGGAAGGCAGGGACTTGATCTCAGGGTTTCTCCATCAGCAGGGCGAGTTTGGGGCAACAGAGCTGGCATTCACAGTTGGGAGGGAGGGAAGAGAGAAGGGTGGGCAAGCCGGGCAATGGGAGAGAACAGGAAGGAAGGCTGGATGGGTGCCTGGGGGAAGGATGAAACAGTCCAGATGGATGGTAGCACCCCTGTGTGACTGCCCCCCGGGGGACCCCCAGCAGGTGACTCTGAGCCCGAGCGCCTAACCCCCCCACCCCATGCCTCTCCTTCCAGGCCTGATGCTGGGGGGCTGTGGCGACAAGTCCGTCCGCTTCCGCCCCACTCTGGTCTTCCGAGATCACCACGCCCACCTGTTCCTCAACATCTTTAGTGACATCCTGGCCGACTTCAAGTAAAGAAGCCCTCTCCTCCGTGCTCTGAGGACGGCCCGACCTCAACCGTTGTCCAATTGATTAGTTCGCCTAATTCATGTTTTCACTCAAAGTTTCAGAGGTGAAGGCATAAACTGGAGGGTTACTCGTGAAGAGGAGGGGATGTCTCTGGCGGCTTGGGGGCAGGGAGGGGCTGGTTGGGGTCTCCGTCTCCGCGGAGCCGGTGGCGCACATTGATTTTCAGCTCAGAGATTCTGCTTGAGCCCTGGACTTAGTCTTAGGATGGTCCCCAGGGGTCCTGGCCATGTAACTGCCCCCCGGGTACCCCCACAATACCTTTGGAAGCCAGTCAAGGGAATGACACCTGCTGCTGGGGCTGGCGGCCGGGACTCCTGGGTTCCGTTCCACTCGAGTGACACATTCAGAGNTAACTGCCCCCCGGGTACCCCCACAATACCTTTGGAAGCCAGTCAAGGGAATGACACCTGCTGCTGGGGCTGGCGGCCGGGACTCCTGGGTTCCGTTCCACTCGAGTGACACATTCAGAGAGGGGAGGATGCTGGTTCCCCCTCCCCTGTCCTATGCAAACAGACTCACGTCCCCCTCACCCCCCTTCCCGGCCCTGGAGCTCTGAGCATGTCCCATGGCAGTGCAGTGATGGGCAGGACAGAGCATGGGAAGGCCGGATGGCAGGGACATGGGACTGAGCTCCGGGCTGTGGGAAGGGGGTCTTCTGGCCACTCCCCCGATGCATCTGGGGATGCCTCTCTGAACTGTGAATTCTCTCCTTGATGGGGCTTCGTCCTGGGAGAATCTCTGGGCGGCATCACCAACAGGTCTTAGTCACCACCCTCATTCCCCAAGTCCCCTCCCTCCTGGGAAAGAAAGCTGTGGCCCATCACCCTGGGACACACTCCCGGGAGTGTCAGCCCAGGCCGGGGGCAGCAGAGACCCCCCTCTTCCCGTCCCCCTGGCATCTGGGGTCTGACTTTGGACCCCTGGTCCGGAGGGGAACCTTTCTCTAGCTTTTGCTCATCCACCTCTGCTCCACATGTGAGCAGCCCCCCAAGAACGGCTTTGCTGCTCCGTCAGAGGGAATTGGTTACAGGACCAGGTTTCTTCTTGCGGGAGGCATCACACATTATAAGTGCAGAGCTCCAGGCAGGAAAACACAGCCTGTCAGGGCTCGGCAATTCGTGTGTCGTCATTGCTCCGAGTCAGAGGTTTTCCTGCCTTGTGTGAGTGTGAGAGGACCAGGCAGGTGATGTTTAGAGGCTTCACTGGATGATGGCTGAGGTTCAAGGGGGTCTCTCCTGGAGGTGAGGCAATTTTGCAACTAATTTGACTTCAGATGCTCCTAAAACAGAGCAGCAGGTCGTCCTAGAACAATGAGGTGTGGTTTAGCAGGTAGATGAAGGAAGTCCGTCCAAAAGGAAGCCACTTGGGTCTCCCCCTGTTTTGGCTGACAGTTTTGGGGAAACAGGCAGATCAAGAATCTCAATTCAGCACTTTTCTCTTTTAGTAACTAATCATCCAAAGATCTCAAAGTGCTTTGGTTTTTTCTTCCCGCTTCCACTGTTGAGCAGATTTGGTCATCAACCTATCTTTGCCGAGAGTGAAAGGCAAACTCACATGCTTAACAAGAACACGGACAGATCCATAAATACTGGTTCACCCCACATCCTGCACTCTGTGCTAATCTTGCTTTTAAGGAGCTCTGCTGTGTCCCAGGGCATGCGCACTGACAGCTAAATGGAGTTCCCTCTCTCCACAACTTTTACTCACTTGTAGATTCATTTGTTTATCCAGTTATTCATTCATGAAACTTGCATTTAATACCTGCTGTGTCCCAGGGCAAGCGCTAAGCACTAGAAATCCAAAGGTGAAATAAAACCTAGTCCCTGCTCTCAAGGGACTCACCCTCCCATTGGGAACAACAGACTCTTAAACCAACAATCAATGCAGTATGTATGGGAACATCGGGAAATCAGAGGGAGTGACCTGATCCACCTAAGGGTCAGAGGAGGGTCCAAGGAGAAAGTGACATTTGAGCAGGGTTTTGCAGGATGCGTAAGAGTTCACCTAGCAGACAAGGCAAGGAAGCGTTGCAGAAAGGGAACAGCATATGCAAAGACACATCCGTTCACAGCCTCACACCTTTCACAGGGGATCCAGATTCCACAGGCAATATCCCAAGATTCAAGGCCTTATTTAACAAACAAGCAAAATGCAAATCAAACCATACTTCACATATGCTTTCTCTTGAGAACCTTAGCATCGGATCCAAACATACAGTGAGGTTCCTGGAGTCCAAAAGGTTTTTAAGCCAGTGCACAACCAGAAACATGGCTCTCCACTGGGGAGAGTGGCTCCAGTATTTTGTTCTCTCCCCATAGGGCATGGACAGATAAATGAAATCTTTTCTTTTTTTTTTAATCTGGAGGGTCATGACCAGACTTATTCACTCCTTACCAAGGGAAGGTACTTCTTGGAAAACTTTTTAAGCCATTTATCAGCCAGTTCTCGTTGACTCAGGGCTGAGTGAGTTCCTGAGACATCCTCTTTTGGGGGTGGGGGGTCTAGCTGGAAGAATTTCAAAATAAAGATTCTCAGCAGTGTTCAAGAAACTTGTCAGAGGTTAGTGGAACACAGGGAGAGCAGAAGACAGGTGCAGAAGCGTTTTTGTGACCTATGGTCCGGAAATGAATCCATCCCACATTAGTGCAGAAGAGTCCGTGCAGAAGAGTTTTTGTGACCTATGGTCCAGAAATAAATCCATCCCACATTAGTGCAGAAGAGTCCGTTCAGAAGAGTTTTTGTGACCTGTGGTCTGGAAATGAATCCATCCCACATTAGTGCCATGGAGTTTAGTACGTGTCGCTAGGAAATCTCATCCCTTTTGCAGAAAAACGAGGTCCAGTAATAGCAAATCTTAGCACATCCTCACTTTTATTATAAATGGGTGTTTTTTTTATAATTTTTACTGACACTCAGTAACCATGCAAAGTTGTGCACAACATTCATCTGTCTATATATCTGTACGTGTCTGTATCTATCTATATATCAGCTCATGGTAGAAAACCATAGCTAGGGAACCTCGCCAACTTACCTGCATACAAAGTGATCTTGTTTACAGTATTCTGTTGACAGTGCCAATAAATGATAAAGAAATTAACATGTCACAATGTAATGGATGACCCTATGCCCAACTCCATGAATTCAACCTGTTTCCTGTGTTAATCAGTATTCTTAAATTAAAAACAAAATGTTTATAATGGAAACACCTGCGTTTAAGTGGCCTTTTTGGTTAGAAATGGTTTTGGTAAGGACTCATTTGACAGGTTCTTATTAAGCACATATGATATACCTCTTCGGGATGTCGTGGGGGAACTCTGTGCCCGCGTTAAATCTGCCTTGGGCTCAGGAAGCCTGCTGAGGCCACTCAGTTCATCAGAGTTCACCCAAGGTATACCACGTGTTGGGGGTGGACAAGGCGTGGTCCTCAGCTCACCTGCTCTGGGCCTGTGTAAGGACCAGGACACAGGACGATGCTATTCGTGAACCAAGCATAGACCCAAGGCAGGGTGGAAGTTAGGCCCTGAATTCAACTTCACGATTGAGTGAGAACTGCTCCAATGACTCAGAGGAGGGGTAGAAGGCATTCCAGACCAAAAGAACAGCTAGCTGAAGGCTGGGTGAGGCAGGCAGGTCTGTGGCATTCAGCATGACTATATCACAAAGACGGGGAGATGGGAAGAGCCTGGAGACCAGGCCAAAGAAAAAGGCAGGGCATGGATCCAGAGGGCCTTCTGGGCCAGGCTGGGCCTTCCACACAGTGATGGAGCCACCGAAGGTCTGGGGTAAGGGGTAATCAACATGCATTCTAGAAAGAATGCCCTGAGTGTCTCCTGTGAACAAGAGAGCCTGGACGACCAGGTGGGAATCTGGCCATCGAGATGACCAGGTGGCCGGGTCAGGACAGCAGTTACGGGTTGGATGGGGAGAGGTCGAGCACAGAACTCACAGAGTCCAGGACACTGACAGTCCACACTAGATACCTTGTGCTGCTTCATTTTTTAATATTTTTTAATTTAGTTGGCTGTACCAGGTCCCAGTTGCAGCACGTGAGATCTTTTCTTTTTTTTCAGTTGTGCTGTGTGGGATCTAGTTCCCTGACCAGGGGATCGAACCCAGGCCCCCTGCCTTGGGAGCGTGGAGTCTTAGCCACTGGGAAATCCCAACACTGGATGCACTTTGGAGTCGCCCTAAAGAGCTTTATAAAACCCCTAATGCTTGTGCCCCACCCCAAACCAATTCAACTGCCTTCTTTCTGCCACCACTTGAGGTGGTAAGTGAAGGACCAGTTGGAATCAGCCCACAGGCAGGTGCATCGTGGGAAAGCAGGGAAGAGATGCTGAGTCAGCACCTGTGAAACTAAAACAGTCTGCCTCTTCGGTCCTCCTGGTGTCCTGACCTGGAACCAGGCAGGGATCGTGGGTTCCTGACTCGTTTCTGCACCCAGCTATCTCCGTACCCCTACACAGCCCTTATTTTTCTCATGTGGAAAATGTATGGTTTGGATCACAGGACTTCCAGTGTTCCTTCTGGCTGGGACACCCAACACGTCTATGAAATAATTGGACTTGGAAAGTAATATTTACCATTAAATGTGCTTTTAAGAATAATCACAGGTAATGATAATATTTATCATTTGTTTGAACATCTACTACATGTAAGCATATTCCGCTGAAAGTGAAAGTGTGAGTCGCTCAGTCATTTCCGACTCTCTGTGACCCCATGGACCATGGCCCACCAGGCTCCTCTGTCCATGGGATTCTCCAGGCAAGAGTACTGGAGTGGGTTACCATGCCTCCTCCAGGGGATCTTCCCTACCCAGAGACGGAACCTGGGTCTCCTGCATGGCAGGCAGATTCTGAAGTACCATCTGAGCTACCAGGGAAGCCCATATTCTGCTGGGGCTTTGTAATTGTCACAACACGCCTATGCATGTGGTAGCCTGTTTGTAAAATGAGAAGCCTGATGCTCAGAGAGGTTGGAGACCCTGCCCAGCATCATACAGTCTGGAAGCAGGGATTTGAGACACAGCGGGGGTGTGAGTGCGCACACTCCGTCAACATGGGGTTGCTTGAGGAGCGACCACTCAGGACACTTCTCTCTGCCACTCTGGCCACTGGCCTGAGAAAGTGGACTTGAACTGGTCAGCATTAGTGTAAGCTCCTGAACGTATATCCCTCAGGCAGGTAGGTGGAAGGTGCCAGGACGTCTGTTACAAAGTTACTGCTTCCATTCTTCTGTCCTTCTTCCCACAGGACCCCAGAGGCAGGCAGGACAAGGCAGGAGAATGACTAATCAGCTGCTTTCTAGCTGGGTGAACTTGAACAAGTCCCTTCACTTCTCTGAGCTTCACCCGCAGAGAGAGACTGATCATGGTAATGCAGCTGACACTTACTAAGGGCTTTCCTGGACTGAGCACTATTGTAAGTGCTTTGCGTGTAGGAAGTCAGTCCCTTCAACCACCTTCGGGGGTGCTTTTAGTGTCATCAATTCACAAAAGAAGAAACCAAGGCACAGAGAGCGATTATTGACTGGCCCAAACTCACAGCCTGGGAGTGACAGGGCTGGGGTTCTGACCAGCTTGGAGTCTTGCTTCCAAACATGGTGCTTTCCATATTCATGCAGCTGCTGGCTCTCCTATTTCCAGCCCTTGCTGGGGGGATTCAAGAAAAGCACATAATCATCGCCTGACACGTAATAGGTGCTGAATACATGCTGGTTCCTTCGGCCACTTGATCTCCAAGCACAGAGTTCACACATAGCTCTAAATATAAAATCTACGTCCCAACAAGGAGACAAGTCCCACCAGATCCCAGGGTAGATTACAACAGTTAACCGGGAAAATGGATGCTTGTCTCTAGGGTTGGTACAGACATGGCCAGATGGTATTGGCCCTGCCTGATTAACCCTCAGCAGGCAAGAATTTACAGTTGAATGAATGCTACACGATCAAAACAAGGCCATAAAGGTTGGGATTCTGCCCAGGTTTCAAAAGGACACTGAGGCTTTCCACTTAGGACTGAATTTAGTCCTGAATTCTTAAAGCAGCCAAGGGCAAGCTCCTAGTTATTTGAGTAACTTGCCCCAGGCTGACCCGCTGCAAGCAGCTGGCCCATCAGATCTGTTTTGGGGATTGCATTAAATGTGCCTGTTTATGATGGGCTGGGGGTGGACTACCTGGGCCTATAACAAGGTAAGGCTCAGTTTCAGTAACCAGGAGAGGAAGGACAGGGCTTCCCAGGTGGAGCTAGTGGTAAAGAACCCGCCTGCCAATGCAGGAGATGTAAGAAACTTGGGTTTGATCCCTGGGCGGGGAAGATCCCCTGGAGGAGGGCATAGCAACACACTCCAGCATTCTTGCCTGGAGAATCTTCATGAACAGAGGAGCCTGGTGAGCTACGGCCCATAGGGTCACAAAGAGTCGGACGCAACTGAAGCGCCTTAGCACACACGCATGCATAGTAAGGACAATAGTTCCCAGCTATGCACACTGGGAATGCCCCTGGCTGCAGCTGACCTCACCAGTCTGGAAGACCCCCTGTCTTAGCTCAGGCTGCTCAAACAGGATACCATAGGCAGGGACATCCCTGGTGGTCCAGTGGTTAAGACTCTGGCTTCCAATGCAGAGGCATGGGTCCCATCCCTGGTTGGGGAACTAAGATCCTAAGACCTCACATGCCACACAGCACAGCCAAAAAATATAAAGTAACATTAAGAATATCAACTTTAAAAAATAAATACTAACAAAAATAAATTTTAAAAAAGAATACCTTAGATAGGGCAGCATAAACAGCCAACATTTATTTCTCACAAGTCTGGAGGCTGGAAGTTCATGGTTGGGTCCTTGGTGAGGGTCTCTTCCTACCTGTCCTCACAGGGCACTGATTCCACCACGAGGGCCCCACCCTCATGACCTCATCTAACAAGAATCACCTCCTAGAGGCCCCACCTCCAAATGCCATCACACGGCGCAGGGGCTATGGTTTCAATATATGAATTTTTAGGAGGGGACACAAACATTCAGTCCATAGCAACTACCATGTGAAAACAGACATGCTACAGGTCACCCCATTTCCTGTTGGTTTTGTTGTTTTTAATCTGGGGCACCGGGACAGCTCCTAGGTAGTGCCCTGCTGGTGCACTGCAGAGAGCCTAATCCATTTCTGTTGCCACAGGGTGATCCGGGATGGTGGGGAGCTGGGGTGGGGGGGCAGTAGGGAATGAAGGGGTGGAATGATGCATTTGCTCTGTGCGCCCTCTGCTGGTACTGTGTGAGCAAACTACACATCCTGGAAATGGACTGAAGTGAAAGCTCAGTCGTGTCCAAATCTTTGCAATTATGCAGTCCATGGAATTCTCCAGGCCAGGATACTGGAGTGGGTAGCCTTTCCCTTCTCCAGGGATTGGACCAACCCAGGGATCAAACCCAGGTCTCCCGCATTGCAGGTGGATTCTTTACCAGCTGAGCTACAAGGAAAGCCCAAGAATGCTAGAGTGGGTAGAGGTGGCTCTTCCTGCCAAAACTGGTGAGAATCTGGGCGCTCATCTCCCACTGCGCTGACACTTCTGGGCTGTGACTGTCAACTTAGATGAGGATGGGAATCACCATCACCTAAGGAAGCTGGGCATGGGCCTGGGCGTGCGGGCCTGCTCAGTCATGTCCAGTTCTTTGCAATCCCATGAACTGTAAACCACCAGGCTCCTCTGTCCGCAGGATTTTCCAGGCAAGAATACTCGGCAATGGTGTTTTTTCTAAAGGTCTCCAGGTGACTCTACACATGGAGCCTGGGTTGAGAACCTATTCTTTAGTGGGGGAAAAAATGGCCAAGGGAAACAAAATCCACAGAAGCATGTTAGTCTGGTGTTTCCCATCCTGGCCATCTATTTCAGAAATTCCCAGCCTGGCTGCATTGCAGAATTAGCCTCCAGCTTGACAAAAAGACTCCGGGGACCCAACCCTGGATATAATCAGAAACTCCAGGACTGAAGCTTGCTCAGGGAAGTGCTTACAAGTATCCCAAGAGGCCTATTTGAGTTCATTTTGGGTTTTAATAAGTCAAGGTCAAACCATTAATCCTTAAGACATTTTATAGGAACAGACTATCAAATTGCACAGCCTTGAGAAAAGAGGCTCACAGGTATTGAAGGCACTTGAGCAGGTGAGGGAAAGGTAGAGACAGGCACCGACTGTTCTAGGTAATTATATACTCAAGTCTTCTGTATAACTGAATCCTCACTATAAACTTTTTTTTAAGACTTTTTTTGATGTGGACCATTTTTTTTTGTCTTTATTAAATTTGTTCCAATATTGCTTCTGTTTTTTGTTTGTTTTGGCTTTTTGGCTGCAAGACTTGTGGGATCTTAGTTCCCCAACCAGGAATCAAACCCATGCCCTTGCATTGGAAGGCAAAGTCTTAATCACTGGACCACCAAGGAAGTCTCCAGACGATAACTTCTAGAGGGTAAATGCAGAGCAAGAAACTGGAAAAGGAGAGACTTTTATGTAGATATCTGGGGAGAAAGGCTTCCAGGCAGAGGAACTGTGTCAATACAAAGGCCCTGAGGCTGGAGGGTGCTTGACTATTGGAGGAGGAACAAGGGAAAAACAGCCAAAGTGAAGTGATCAGTGCAGAACTGTGGATGAGGCAAGGAAGCTGGGGGAAGGGGCCAGGCCATGCTCCAGGCGGGACCTATAGACCCAGTAAGAATTTCAGCTTCTATAGAAGTGATGCAATCCTCTTTTTTCAAAGGATCACTTTGGCTGCTGTGAGAACAGGCTCTATCAGGGTAAGGATGGAAGCAGCAGGATGCAATAATCCAGAGGCTACAAGGGCAGCTTGGATCAGGGTGGTGGGGCTGGCGGAGGTGAGAGCAGTCAGGTTCTGGCTGCACCTTTAAAGTAGGTGTAAAACCGTCTGTCAATGGAACCACATGCCATTTACCCTGAAGAGCCGGCACTTCTGAGTGGGTCCGAAGCCCTCCGGGACCCTTCAGGCCCACCACCAGGCTCTGGATCACGCCTTCCACTGCACAGCCCCTCTACCTAGGGAACCCACAGACACACTGTGGCTGACAATGGGGGTGAGGGGAGGGCTGGACAGCGTCCCCAAACATCTGAGACACACAATCACAGCCACACCCCCCGCAGACCATGGCCTCCGACTGGCAGAAATTAACACAGAGGAAGAAACTGGAAAAGGAGAGACTTCTATGTAGATACCTAGGGAGAAAATTAACAGAGGAAACAACAAATCCATGACAAGCCTAGTCCTATCACTTGCATCATTAACTAAAGATAAGTACAAATTAAAGCCGCTTCCTCTTGTTCTTAAGTGTTCCCAAACTTTCACAGTTCTCCCCTTTTTTTTTGACCATCAAAGCTTCCCCACAGTGATGTGGATCCAAATCAGGGTCCTCCCTGAGCAAGGGTACCCAACCTGCTCCTGTCCAGGGCAGAAGGCCCTTGCTGCTCCCGCAGGCTGCCTCCTCACAACTGGGGTGCCCTTCAAGGTCCAGGCCCCAGGCCATCTGCACCTCACCCCCCACTCACCCCCTGCTGCTGTTCTGCTTTGGACCACCTCACTCTTCTCTTGCCTTGCACATTTCCCCGTCTCTAACACACAACACACTTAGCATCTGTCCTCCCTCCCCACCAACACTGTCGGCCCCACAAAGGCCCCAAATCCCCTCCTGAACTACATATGATGCCTTATACCCAGCTGACTTGGAAGCCTGCGGTAACAAACTGTGGTTTTTTTTATTATCATTATTTTTTTTTCTGGCCATGCTGTCTTCAATGCTGTACAGGCTTTTCTCTAGTTGCAGAGAGTGGGGGTTGCTCTCCAGCTGCGCTTCTCACTGTGGTGGTTTCCCTTATTGCAGAGCAGGTGCAGCAGGACACGCGGGCTTTGGTAGTTGTGGTTCCCAGGCTCCAGAGCACAGGCTCAGCAGCTGTGGCGCATGGGCCCAGAGGCTACGCAGCACATGCAATCTTCCTGGACCAGGAATCAAATCAAGCCTGAATCTTCTGCCCTGGCAGGCAGACTCCACCACTGGGGCACCAGAGAAGCCCCAAACCATCTTGAATTACATGCTTTACTTGCTTCTGTGAAATGCAGTAGATTAAGAAGATCTAACTTGGTGCAATGGTAAAAGAATCTACCTGCTAACGCAGATGACCCAGGTTCGATCCCTGGGTCAGGAAGATCCCCTGGAGGAGGAAATGGCAACCTGCTCCAGTATTCTTGCCTGGAAAATCCCATGGACAGAGAAGCCTAGTGGGTTACAGCCCATAGAGTCTCAAAGAGTCGGACATGCCTGAGCACACACACACAGGGTGTCTGTGAATGTGTGTGCATGTTGCGTAGATATGGTTTTGTGTGTCTGGATACATATATGTGTCTGCGTATCTGACCGTCTCTGTGCATCTTCTCCCATGTTTATGATTCAAGGAACACATGTGTTGTGGAGTCTATATGTCTTGGGGTCTGCTGCAAACACTGAGTTTCTGAGCACATAGTCCTTGGAATATGCTCATGTGTATGTGTGAATAAACTGTAGTTTGATCATGGATGTGATATAAGGATCGAAATCAAACACAGACTGCTCTTGATTTAACACAAATTTTTCATCTGCGCCTTCTCGCAGAGCTTTGCTAACATAGGGAACAAATTAACAAATTCCAAATAGCAATAAAATGTTTAGGAGAGTTGGGACCATTTGGAAAAAGAGTAGATGGATTCTACAAGGCTCTAATTTTCATACAGAAAATAGATAANGGCTTTGAGAACTGACAGAACCCCAGTCTCCCACACCTGTCCGATTTCACAGCAGAGGACGGTTTGAGCAAACCTGTCATTGCTTCCTCCGAGAACCTACCAGAAACTTCTGGCCATTATCTCGATGCCACACGCAAGTGCAGGGAAGAATCGGCACTCGGGGCCTCTCCTAAACCCGGTTACTAGCGTCTACCTTGTGAGTTTTCTCACCCCAGGGGCCCCGGCAGAAGTTTCCCGGCGGCACGACCCCGTCCTTCAGCCCCGCCCACACCCTTTGCCTCCCCACTGGAGGCCCGGCTCCCGGCATCCACTTGGGCTCCCGGCATCCACTTGGGCGCCAGGCCATTCACTTGAGCCCGTCCAGCATCCCGAACACCTGCGTAAACCGGTCTTGGTCCAGGACGCGCCCGTAGCGCAGGGTGAGGTAGAAGGTCTGTTTCCCACTGTACTGCTGGATCCGCACGAACAGCTCTTGGGGCCGATCCGGGCTCTCCGTCATGGGGATCACGTCGGCCACGGGGCAGTAGGTGTCCTGTCGCCGGCCCCAGAAGGTCAGGTGGGCCACCCGCAGCACAGTGCCCGCCTCGTTCACGTACAGGATGCCCACCAGCCTCCGGAAGAAATGGCTCATCCAGTATAACATGGCCAGGGCGAAGCCGGCGACCCCGCCCGCCAAGCACAAGGAGCTGAAGGGCATGAGGCCCTGGGAATAGCCGTAGAGGCCGGGCGGCAGGGCGGCCACCGTCAGGGCCGTCTGTGCCACCTTCAGACGAGACAGGTACCCGAAGGCCTTGATGGCGTCGAACCGGTACACCATCTGAAACTTCTCCGCCTCTGGGCCCGGTGGCTTCTCCTTGGAGGGGGGCGTCCCGCTTCCCAGCCCCCTCCTGGGATCCTGCCCACCGTAGCAGCACAGCCGGTGGAGCGGCCTGCCCCACGCGGCTGGCCCCGGCGACCGCGCCACAGCTCGGAGGAGGGCAGCCTGGAAGGGAGACAGGGAGACCATTTCTCTCAGGGAACTCAACCGTGCGGATCACTCAAGGGACAGGTGCAAAGCCCCTCACACGGAGGCCAATCCTGTGAGATCGGCATTACTGCCAGAGATGGAAAGAAGGGTAAAGCCAGCGGCTTTGTTTGCTGTTGTTGTTCAGTTGCTAAGTCGTGTCTGACTCTCTGCGACCCATGGACTGCAGCCCATCAGGCTCCTCTGTTGCTTACCTCACAGATCTGCAGGAAAGCTGTGCACAAACAAGAACCAATACTTCTACTTTACCACGGAGGAAACCAAGCCCAGAGAAGGCAAGCAATGTACCCAAAGACCCACAGCCAGTCGGTGGGGCCGAGTCTGATTTTTAAAAGCAGTCCTCTTTCCTCCAGGCAGTTCAAGTAAACATGGGAAAGGAGGCACAACCTTCATTCATTCAACAGCTAACCTGCGAAAGGACAGCTCTACACTGCCACTGAATAATCCATAGCCTGTGTGACATTTCCCCAGGCAGGAAACGCCATCAGTGTCCTAGTGAGGAACAAACCCGGGAGATAGTCATCACAATAACTTTCCAATTCTCGGTCAGATTAAAGCGTCGTCTTGGGACTAAATGAAACGCTATTTCTTGGCCTAGACTGAGAAGGGATTGAACGAAGGATGAGGGAAGGATGGAGGCGTAAACCCGCAGCGCTAGGGTTTCATGAGGCGCAGTTTCACACCTCGAACAGTGCAGTGAAAAATACTTTGGGCGGTGGAGTCAGATCTGGGTTCCAAACCCGACTCCTACAGTCACCAGCTGTGGATCCTTGGGCAAATTACTCCGCCTCTCTGGGCCTCAGTTTCTTCATCTTTCAAAACGGGGATCCAGAATATACTGGATGTGATGATGGTTTGAAAGCCTTCAAAACGCACTTGATGCACTCCGAGCGCTCAGTGAGTTTTAGTTATCGCTAGCTGTAGGTCCACGTGACCGGAGGGCAAAGTAAGGCGGTAAGCAGCAAATTAAAACCCACGCGGGATGTCCCTCTGGCAGATTCTCCGAATGAGAAGCCCTGGCGTCTGCATACTTGCCCCAGGCCTGCCCCGGACCCCCAAAGCACGTCACCTCCCTCGCTCCCCACCACCCACTTTCTTACCATGGTACCGCTGCCCGGTGAAGGAAGTGAATCCATCTGCTCCCGGAACTGCTAAGAGCGCGTGCTGGGCCCTAATAGGGCAGCAGCGCGTTGCATTCTGGGATCTGTTGTCCAGAGCACATCCCAGTGCCGCTAGTCGCCGGCATTGTGGGAGTGGATTCTCCTCCTCCCGACGTGCCCTACGGCACGGGGGCCGGACCCGGAATTTCCGGGCAGGGTTCCAAGTGCCAGCGAGTCCTGTTTGGTGCGCGTGGAAACTAGGGTCATGGCTGCTCCCGGCCCAGCGCTCTGCCTCTTCGACGTGGACGGGACCCTGACGGCCCCGCGGCAGGTAAGAGGCGCCCGGTGGTAGCCGGTGCAGAGCCCCCTACTGCTCCCAGACGGGGCTAACGACCGCCCAGGTAGGCAATCTGAGGCGGCTAGGGACCGCCCACCTCCCTTGGAGCGACTGAACTCTGCTGTGTTCCCTGGAGGGCTGACGGAAGCCCTAACCAGACCTTCAAAACCCCAGGGTGCTCGGAGAGATGGGACAGGCCGAAAAACTCTAAGAGAGCAAGGAACTTGTGTTGGCTTGGAAAACGCAATTCTGGACTCTCACCGTCAGCCCTGCGTGTGAAACCCAGCTCAGCCCCTTTACCAGCTTGCGTGCTCTTCTCAGACGTATCACTGTGGTCTGTGCCTGTAGCTTGATGTGAAAGACAGATTTCCGGGTCAGACAGGCCGAGTAGAGTCTCAGCTTTACCTCCTGACAACTATGGGACCTTGAGCAAGTCACTTAACCTTAACCTCAATATCAATGGCTTTAAGTGGGGAAGTGACCTGTTCCTTGAGGTGTTTGTGGGGGTGGGTCGAATGAAATCATATAAGTTCATGAAAGCATCTTGCAAACGGTAGTCTGGGTTCAATAATACTCAATTAGTATTAGCCACCACCACACTGCCTCCTCCAGCCCTGCGGTGGAGTGAGGTGATGGATAAGACCTAGATTGCTACAGGCTGTCTGTTGGGAGTGTCCTTGGACTCCTGGAAACTTCTCTTTTCCAGATTTTGTTGCCATGGGCACAGATTTTGTGATGACGCTCACTCTGACCTCCCCCTGGCACGAATCAGTCACTGAACAGCAGCCATTCAAACTTGGGACTGGTTCCAAGTGGCCTCGCTGTCTTCGAGTTCTGTCTCTACCCTGCTTGGTTCCGGCCGGATGGTAGCAGTGGTGGGTGCGCTCTGGAATTCACACGGAATGTATGTGACCTTAGTCGCATCATTTTACCTTTCTGAGCCACAAGTGCTGTGTATCTAGTGATGATACTCAATTGCAAGTTCTCCAAAGGCCCTTCTTGACTCTGAGATTCCACAATCCACACACACTTGTAAATTGTTAAAAACCCATAGTGGTTCAGAGCCAAGGTCAGTAATTCATTGTTTGCAAAGGGCCAGGTAGCAAATACTTAGGTGTTTGCCCACCATATGGTCAGTAGTAACTACTCAACATTAATGCAGAAGCAGCCGTCAATCACACATAGACACTAGAGCTGTGTTCCAGGAAAACTGCTGCTCTGTTTGGCTCTTTGCTTGTAGTGATCTTGGGTTTACATTCCAAGGCTTTTTACACAATATCATTCGAGCCTCTTAACCCTTCTCCCTCTTTCATCCCAAGTAGGGTAGTTATTTCCATTGTAAATTAGGAAACAGGCACAGTGAAACCATGAACTTGGTTTCCGTACAAGATCTGATGCAAGTCTCTGGGCCTCAGAGTATTGTTATTTGCTAATTTGCCATTTTCTGCCAAGGCTTCAAGATGGAGGCTGTTCTGGTTACGAGGTGTGCCATTCAGGAATGTGCTTCTGATTCCCAATAGGAATCGGGACATATAAGCACAAAGTATGAAATAGCAGCAAAACCAGGCAACTTGCAGTGTATTCCCTTGAAACATTTGAAACGTTTCTTTGGTGAACATGATTTTTACACTTAAAAAAATTATCTAAGTTTTATGCACTGGGTGCTCCAGGTAAAAAATAAACTAATTTAGCAACAGATCTGCATTATATAACCTTTCCCTTCCTCAATAAACAACATTCTCAAACACTGATAAGCACAAGGCAATCCGAAAGCAATCAAATGGATTATCTTTTCTTGCAGCTGCTGAAACAGGATATGACCTAATCAGGTAAAATCTAACCAGTGGCGTCCAGAGCTTTGCGCATTTCAATGTGCTAGTAGAACGTTGCTGTTCTGAGTGCTTTCTTAAGAAATGCCATTGCATCTAAAAGCAGTTGAGACTTAGAAGCCTGCAAAGAGAAGCAGGGCATAAACCTGGGTGGACTGTTTTCCAGCTTTCTCTCATGAAAGGCTTCAAACGTACAGACTCGATGGGGAAAAAAACAGTACCCAGAAGAACCATATTCACATCACTTAGATTCAACAGTGATTGGTATTTTTTTTTAATTGGTTTATTTTTGGCCACATTGGATCTTTGTTGCTGCCCTCAGGCTTTCTGTAGTTGCCACGAGCAGGGGCTACTTTTTCTTGGGGCGCTGTGACTTTGGGGTGGCTCTTTGCGGAGCACAGGCTCTAGGCACATGGGCTGCAACAGTTGCTGTGCGTGGGCTCAATGGTTGGGGTGCACGGGCTCTGTTGCCCCACAGCATGCGGACTCTTCCCAGATCAGGGATCGAACCCGTGTCTCCTGCAGGTGGACTCTTATCCACTCTACCACCAGGGAAACCCTCACTCTCTTTTTTTAATCTTTGCTGTATCACTTCCAAAGCTGTAGTCGTAATGGTACTTCACCCCTGAATATTTACACCTGCAGCTCTCGAGGACAGGGACCGCTGTTATAAGCACAACTTCGTGATCACACCTAAGGAAACGATCAGCAGTGCCCTAAAGTGATTTTATACAGGGGTCAGCAAAGTTTGCTCTGTAAAAAGCTGCTTGTGACCACAATCGAGCATCTGAACTCCCGCAGCCCCGCCGCAGGAGGTAGGAAACGGCTGAGGTTCACACAGCTGCTCACCCCTGTAGTCATGACTGCAGACACCACAGAGATGAATGGATATGACTGTGTTGCGGTCACTGTACAGAAACAAGCAGAGGGTTGGTTCTGGCCCGCAGGCCTGGTTTTCTGACTCTTCCTCTGCTCCTTAATTTTCCTTAATTATCCCTGAGAAGTCTTCTATAATTTTTTTTTTCACATTAATTCCAAGTTTTGGGCTCCTTGTGTTTTGTCTGGGATGACTTATAAAGAATTCCTTGAATTTATCACAAGAGTTATTTAGAAACATTATGACCCAATCAAAAATTGGGCAGAAGACCTCAACAGATATTTCTCCAGAGAAGACAGACAGATGGCCAATAAACACATGAAAAGATGCTCAACATCACTCATTATTAGAGAAATCCAAATCCAAACTACAATGAGGTATTGCCTCACACCAGTCAGAATGGCCATCATCAAAAAATCTACAAACAATAAATGCTGGAGAGGGTGTGGAGAAAAGGGAACCCCCCCTACTCTGTTAGGGCTTCCCTGGTAGCTCAGCTGGTAAAGACTCCGCCTGCAATGCAGGAGACCTGGGTTCGATCCCTGGCTTCAGAAGATACCCTGGAGAAGGGAGCATCTACCCACTCTAGTATTCTGGCCTGGAGAATTCCATGGACTGTATATGTATAGTCCATGTGGTTGCAAAGACTCAGACACGACTGAGTGACTTTCACTTCACTTTCACTTCCTACACTGTTAGTGGGAGTATAAACTAATACAGCCATTATGGAGATAAAACTAGAAGTAAATCTACCATATGATCCAGCAACCCTACTCCTGGGCATATACCCTGAGAAAACCATAATAGAAAAACACATATGTGTCCCAGTGTTCATAGCAGCACTGTTTACAACAGCCAGAAGACGGAAGCGACCAAGATGTCCATTGACAGATGAATGGATAAAGAAGCTGAGATACGTATATACAAAGGACTATTACTCAGTCATTAAAAAAAGAATGAATTTGAGTCAGTTCTAGTGAGGTGGATGAACCTAGAACCTGTTACACAGAGTGAAGTGAGGCAGAAAGAGAAAAACAAATATATTAATGTGTTTATATGGAATCTAAAAAAGTGGTATTGATGAACCTGTTTGCAGGGAAGGAATGAAGACGCAGATATTACAGAGAAGGGACTTGTGGACACTGGGGGTGGGAGAGCGTGGGATGAATGGAGAAAGCAACAACACACAAACAAGATGGATAGCTGGTGAGAAGTTGGCACTCTGATAACCTGGAGGAGAGGGAGGCGGCGGATGTGTAATTAAGACTGACTTGCATTGTATGGTAGAAATCAATACAACATTGTAAAAAAAATTTTTTAATATATTTAAATAAATGGAAAAAAAGGCTTCTCCATGCCCCCACACACAAAAAGAAACGTGGCAACAGTTTTGCTGTGTGGTTACTTTCCTTCATGTCTCTCTTCTGTGGTGGGGGCTAGTAGAGATGCTCGATTGTGATCAGAAGCAGCTGGGTCTTATTTCCTGTCGAGAAATATTTGCTGCCACCTGTAAGGGAGAAGCTACCTCTCTGACCCATGCATGTTGAGCATGTCTTCTGGCTGACCTGCCAGACCATTCAGCTCATCAGTACTCACAGGGGTCCAGATAAAAATAAATGGTACCCTTTGGCTTCTGTGTGAAGGTGGAAGTGTTATGTTTGTTGTGAGTGTTGCATTTTTAATGTTCTGCAATCACAGGAATCTTCCCCACTTCCTCCCATTCTGACCTCATGTCTGAGATCAACGCTTGGGGGAGCCTCTGGGGCCCATTTTCAGTCACTGACTCAGAAGCCACTAGACTGTCCACTAGGTCAAGATTCCACCGGAAGATGTGGAAAATATTGCACTCTCTTGGAAGCCCTTCTGCACAATTGTATTAACCATATGCATGCACTACTCTTAAAATAATGCTTTCTAAAGAAAAAGAGAAGATTGAACTCTAGATGTTTTTGTGCTGAAGTTAAGTGGATTTTTTTGCTTTTAGTTTTCTGGTAGCTTTATTTGTGAAGATAAGTGTACAATCACAGCTTTATTTATGGAGATAAGTGTCCATGTAAGTGTACCATTAAGATTGCCAGCAGCAATGAAACAAGGGTTTAACAGATACTTTGTGGTTTGCCTTAACACAGGGATATCGCTTCATCTCAGTTTAAAATTTATTTTGAATTAGCACATGAGTTTGAATTAGCAACAACTTGAATCCATAAATGCAATACAGTGTAGCATTTGAAAGGAATGGATCTATGTGCATTCTGGAAAAATCAGCACAACTTAATACTGAGAAAGCAAGTCATTGTGCAAGACATAGAATGACATAGAATGAGTCCAAAAAGAATGTTTCAAAAAGTAGAGCCTTTTTATATATGTGCCTACAGACAAGTGTATAAATGCACAGGAAAAAAAAAAGCTGGAGCAAAACATAACAGTTGTCACTGTATTATTTGTGTGTTTTAAGGCAGGTAAAATTTTTAATTTAGCAAGTTTTTTTTTCTGATAAACTTGATGTCCCAAAGTGAAAGTAAAGTCACTCAGTTGTGTCTGACTCGTTGTGACCCCATGGACTGTAGCCCACCAGGCTCCTCCATCCATGGGATTCTCCAGGCAAGAATACTGGAGTGGGTTGCCATTTCCTTCTGTAGGGAATCTTCCCAACCCAACGATCAAACTCGGGTCTCCTGCATTGCAGGCAGACTCTTTACCATCTGAGCCACCAGGGACCCCCGCAATGTCCCAAAAGCACAACCAACCAGTTGGTCTTACCTGTAGATGCAGAAGCAGATAGACAAGTAGGAGAGTAAAGATTGTGTTACTCTTGAGGGTCTTAATCTCCCAATTCCTGCATGTCTCCTGACTGTTTGTTTTCCTTTTTGAAATGCAGAAAATTACCAAAGACATGGATTGCTTTCTGCAAAAACTGAGGCAGAAGATCAAAATTGGCGTTGTCGGTGGGTCAGACTTTGAGAAAGTACAGGAGCAACTGGGAGATGACGGTAGGCTCTGCGTTGCTCGTTAGGTTTGGTCCAAGAGTAACTTCTTATGAGGTTATCGGGACCCATCGCCACTTAGTGTTGTGGTTACAGCCCTGAAGCCTCCTGCCTGTGGGGCAGCCTTCCTGCTTCCTTGTTGGGGGAACATTTTCTCTGCCCTTAGTTTTTCTCTGTTTTTTTTAATCCTACTACATTTCTGGAGCTGCTGGTGAAGCAGTTGGTACTCAGACATATGGACAGAGGGACCTAGAAACGTAGGTGTCTGTGTCTCGGCCTGGAATCCTTCTTGCTGATATCCATTAACTGCCTTCCTGGCTTCAGTTTGGGCACCATCCCGACATCTTGCTCACCTGGGTGTTGAGGGGTCCTGTGGGTCTTCACGCCCACCTCCGTTGTCCTTTCGCAGTGTTTCCCGGAGTTACCCAGGCTCCTCCCCCACCTAGGGAACCAGAATCCAGAGCCCCGGACCTCAGGAAGCTGGAGACTGACTCAGTAGGTCCGTGGGGCCTGGAATCATACTTCAGCAACTGCCTTCAGGAGATTGTAGGGCTGCTTATGTTTTATGTAGTGCTGAATATTGGAGACTGTCTCCTTATGTCTGTTTTGAAGACTGGGACTACGGATTATTCATCTTCAGGGCCCCAGGGCCGCTGGGATACCTGTGAGAAACAGTGGGTGGAGACCTAGAGAGCCTGAGCTTTCTCTTTGGCACCATTGACATCTGGGGCCAGGAACTCTCTGTTGTCTGGTGCGCTAGATGCTGCTGAGCGGTATCCGCGGCCTCTGCTCACTTGCCAGCGGCACCCCCTCGCCCAGGATGACAGCCACACACACCTCCAGACACCAGAGATGTCCCCTGGGGCAGCGTCACACCCGGTTGAGAACCACTCCTCGAGATGTAATACCTTCCAGTGCAAATCTGTGTGGGGTGTACGTACCAGACTGGTTACTGAAAGTAATCTATGCGGTCCCTTTAAAGCCCTCTGTTCTGGGCTTCCTTGAGGTCCCAGTGGTTCAGACTCCATGCTTCCGCTGCAGGGGTCGTGGGTTCGAGTCCCTAGTTGGGGAACTAAGATCCCGCATGTCTTGGGGTGCAGGCCAAAACAGAAGCTCTCTGTTCCTCTTACACTAACTGTCCTTATAGGTGCTCAGTTTAGAAATGCCATAAACAACATGTTGTTTGTTGTTTAATTTAGTCGCTCAGTCATGTCCGACTCTTTACGACCCCGTGGACTGTAGCCCGCCAGGCTGCTCTGTCCATGAGGGATTTCCCAGGTAAGAATACCAGAGTGGGTTGCCATTTCCTTCTGTAGGGGATCTTCCTGATCCAGGGATCAACCCTGAGTCTCCTGCACTGGCAGGCGGATTATCTACCGCGGAGCCCACCTGGGAAGCCCGTATAAACAACATAATGGGGCACATTAAGACCCTGTTACCTGGTCCTGATTGCCCTTTATGCCCCGATCAGGTATTTAACCACAGGCTCAGAGAGGTTTTGTCAGTGTAGGACAGCGTGTTACCTTTCAGAGTGTGAGTAGAAACACCAGATTCAAAACAGTCACGCACCAAAAGAAACTGAAAGACCCACCTGTATGAGAATCACCTGGGGACCTCGTTCAAATGCAGAGCTGGGCCCCCACCCAACACACCGTGCCTGGGAATCTGCACTGTAACAAGCGCCTGAAGTCTGCGACCATCCAGATTGATACGGGCTTCCCCTGTGGCTCAGCGGTAAAGAATCTGCCTCCGATGCAGGAAATGTGGGTTCAGTTCCTGGATGGGGAAGATCCGAGGGGATGGCAACCCACTCTAGTATTCTTGCCTGGAGAATCCTTGTGGACAGAGGAGCCTGGTGGGCTACAGTCCATGGGGTCACACAGAGTCGACTGAAATGACTTAGGATGAATGCAGGCAAGATTGATGTGGGTGGTCTTAAGAATCACCTGAAGAGCTTTTTTTTAAAAAAAAATCTGATTCTTAACCTGGCCTTACAGGTTCTGATTCAGAAACGCCGGGATCATAGCCTCAAATTCAGCAGATTTTCCTCACTGTCCGGATGACGCAGGTTCCAGCGGGGTTTGGGAGCCATCGTTGCCTTCAACTTGCCTTTACAAATAAACAGGCGGAAGGCAGAGACACGCAGTGACCCACTACCAACTCTTCAGTCTGCAGCCTAATCGTCATCTGTTAAATTGATAACAAAGGACCTTTTAAAAAAAATTTTTAAGGAGCTTTATTCCACCCTCCCAATCTGTTAAGATAGGTCAGTACTGGAGTTTAGCAGTTTTGTTGGCCATGTGTTAATGAAGAAATAGAAACACAGGGTTCAATTCATTCCGTTCTAAAGTTTCTTTTGTTTTATTGGCAGTTATTAAAAAATATGATTACGTGTTTCCAGAAAATGGCTTGGTAGCATACAGAGATGGGAAACTCTTGTGTAAACAGGTAGGTTCGCAAGTATCCAGACTACGAAAGACTCCTGGTCAGATGTTTTCTGGAAAGGCACTTGAATACCTCCGGGGGCTGAGAGGTAATGAATCTTCGCCCTCGTTTTTTACGTGTTGAACCATTTGACGATTACACATTCCAAATTGCTAACTTAATTTTTATAATTGCTTTTTAAGGGTAATTAATCTAATATTTCTGTTATGGTAGCAGAGACCTGTGCAGGCTGCTTGCTACAGACATTTTTTACGCAGTCCTGTGTAGCTCTTATTACCATTAGGATCCTTCTGTTCAGACAGAAGAGGAAACCGAAGTGAAATAAATATGTTTTCTATCTGTGTCTGCAGATATTTTAATGGAATAAAAGTAGCAATGATAAACTCTGTGGGGGCTTCCAGAAAGCACTTTGAGAGATAACGAACATAAAAATCTTGAGTAATGAAGCAGGAAATGGTTTTGACTGTAGCCCTTTATGGTTTGCCCAATGTTTTCAGCAAATAAGAAAGGGAGAGGAGAAAGGCAGTGTGGATGTCACCCACCCCCGCCAGGTGACCGACCTTCAGCCCACAGTGGCTGAAGACCTGGCTTGGCTGGAAAGCCGTTTTGAAAACATCACCTGCTGTGTCAAGTAACATCAGCATTTTCTTTATCTAGAATATTCAAGGTCACCTGGGTGAAGCCCTAATCCAGGATTTAATCAACTACTGTCTGAGCTACATCGCGAAAATCAAGCTCCCAAAGAAGAGGTGGGTTTGCTCCTAGCAACGAGGCTCCACTGGAATATGGCGTCACATCCTCTGGCAGGTTAGGGCTTAGTTAACTCGGCAGCGCAGTGCTTACAAGGGGTCACCGGCAGCCTTCTGCGAGGCCAGCAGTGGACGAATGACTATATAAATGATGGTGTGTCCACATGACAGGAATTGAAAGCTTGATGCTGTCAAAGGCTGCCGGTCAAGGCACCTGCCTGTGACACAGCAGCGTGGGAAAAGCATCAGCCCCAGCTGGGGGCTCAAAAGTAGAGGCCCCCAGGCCAAATCCCCCCCAGAGCCATGTTCGCTTGGCCCCTGCTGTTCAGTACAATCTGCATTAAGTGCTATCGTTTTTTTAATTTTTATCCATTCATTCATTTATTTTTGGCTGTGCTGGGTCTTTGCTGCAACGCATGGGTTTTTTTCTAGTTGTGGCGAGCGGAGCCTACTCCAGTTGCGGTGCAGTGGCGTCTTGTCAGAGCACTGTGCTCTAGAGTTCCCGGGCTTAGTTGCTCCAAAGCGTGTGGAATCTTCCCAGACCAGGGATCGAACTGTGTCCGCTGCCTTGGCCGGTGGATTCTTAACCACTGGACCACTGGGGAAGTCCCAGTGCTGTCATTTAAAAGTCTGATTTTAAATGTCTGGGCTTCTGGCTTCTGTTGCATCTGAAGACCCAGTAGTTCAGTGCCTGCCCTCAGCATGGCTGCAGCTGGGAGGGCACAGGGGCAGTGCTGACCCCCGCCCCCATCGCCATCTCCAGCCTTGCACAGGCCGTTTATGTCATTTTTCTGGCCTCTCTGGACATCGATTTATGAACCTACCTCTTGCTCTGAACACTTAGCATCTCAATTCCCATTTTTAAATAATAACAGTAACATGCACACATGCCCACAATTGAAAGAGTGGCAGGAAATGGACCTGATGCTAACAGTGGCTGTTTCTGGGTAATGAGGTTACAGGTGGTTTCTTTGAAATACTTTTCATTTTTTTCTGTTTTCTGCACTTAATCTGTAACACCCTAGTGATTAGGAGGTGAAACATTTCTTAAACGGCAATTAAATTTCAAGACATGCTGCACTTTTGAGACTGAATTCCTGAATCAGGTGGCCCTGCTCGGCTCCAGCTCCTCCTCTCAGAGGGCGGGGCTTTTGGTTTTCTCGTCTTTTCTCATCTGTCCCAGGAAGCAGGGTGGATGAGACAGGCGGGCCCTCAGGTCCATTTTTGTTGGAACTGGGAGGTGACCTATGAGCGTTCGTTACCCTGTGGTGTTGACTTTTGTATAAGTTAGAAATTCTCTGTTGTAGAAAGTATCCCAGGTCAATTCAGTCTTTACTTTGGGCTAAGCGTTAAGGGAAAATAAAAAGAGGGTAAAATCCATTCCCGTTCTCAGAGAAGATGTCGTCTAGTGAGAGAGACCAGCGTGCAGAGTTGCAACTCTGAATTAGTCCAAGGTTCCTGGTGGATTCAGGAGGCAGAGCCGTGACCCTCTTTGAGCAGCATTTGCCCACGTTTCTCGTGGGCCTCACTCTGTGCCCCACTTAGAGCGGGCAGGTGCAGTGAAACATCAGATAGTCCAGGTCTTCAAGGGGGAAGTGAATGCTTGATCAACCACCTGAGTCCTGGTGTTAAAAGCCATTCAACAATGCATCAGCCGCCCTCCCTGCCTCGGGAATGAGAGTAATAATGTGTCCTTGAGCTGGGGAAACAATTGAGCTCTTTTTCTGACAGTTTAGGACCCACAGGCCTAGGATCCCCCACGAATGATAACCGTTGCCCCTGGACCCTCGTGTACATGTAGACTGTGCAGGGGACCGGCCGGGCTGTACAGAGTCCAAGACAGCTGGGCGGGGGTTTGGAGCAGTGTCTCCAGCGCACACACGCTTGCCTCTCTCTCTGCAAGTGGAGCACAGCAAGGGAGGGTCCCGTGAGGGAGATTTTGCTGTTTTCACTTTCCTTGATTGAGTATTCATTGCTACTCAGTTGGCAAAGTACTTTTACGAAAGATTTCAGGAGCCCCTTTGGGGGCTTAGAGCGAGTGCCCTTAGCCCCCTTCTGAGGCCCAGAGTGGTGCCCAAGCTCACCTGGTAAACTGTGGCCTGCCTTGGCCTGGAATCTGGTCCCAGCCCCACGCCTGGCGCTCGGCCTGCAGAAGCTTTACTGAACTCACCTGAGATCTCGGCAGCTTTTCCTGCGTCGCTTTGCTTGGTGAAAAGCAGCATTTCACTGGCTCACTGGCCGAGGCGTCTGTGTAGATGCTTTCAGATTCCTCGGGGAGCGTGAGAGCTCGTCATTGTTTCCATAGCTCTTTGCTCACTCTAACAGTCTGCCCGAGAGCAGCACTGTCCAGCTGAAATGTAATGTAGTTTTTGAGCTTTCTGCAATGCTGGGTTTTTTGTTTTTTAGGAAAGAAAGGAACAAGTGAAATTAGTTTTAACATGCTTTATTTAACCGAATATATCCAAAATACAGTCATGTCAAGTAATAGTCAATGTAAAGCGTTATCGGGACCTCCCTGGTGGTCCAGTGGCTAAGACTCCACGCTCCCAATGCAGGGGGCCACGTTCGATCCCTGGTCAGGGCACTAGGTCCCTCATGCTGTAACTAAGACCCGGCTCAGCCAAATAAGTAAATGTTTTAAAAGATAAGTAAAGCATTTTTAGTGAGGATTACACTCTTTCACATGAAATCTCTAAATGCTCGTCTCCAATCGGATCAGCCACAGCTCAGGGCTCATGGGCCACATGGGGCTGTTGATGGCCCATGGCCCAGCACAGCTCCTCCACATGTTGATCACACCCGCCTCTGCCTATGGAATTGCCCACCTCTTAGCCTGTCTGTCTTTCTGCCGTGTTGCTCAAATGTGTCTCCGGGACCCCTCTCCTCTTCCTCTCACGCCCAGGGGCACTTTCATAGAGTTCCGTAATGGGATGCTGAACGTGTCGCCAATCGGAAGAAGCTGCAGCCAGGAAGAACGCATTGAGTTCTACGAGCTCGATCAGGTTAGTCTTCCTGACATAGCCCGGGTGTGCGAGTATGTGGTGTGCCTCTGTGTGGCCGAGAAAGCCGCTGTCAACTGCACTAGACTCTCGGTATCTTTTTGTCTTCCTCAGAAAGAAAAGATAAGACAAAAGTTCGTGGAGGACCTGCGAAAAGAGTTTGCGGGGAAAGGCCTCACGTTTTCCATAGGTACCATACGTCCGAGGGGTTCGTGCCGGGAGGGGGCTGTGGGGTGTGCTCTTGAACTTGGACTCAGTGCTCAGTTTGCTGATGAGCAGCAGGATTACAGGTGACCCATCCATAAGGGGGAAAGCACTCACCTGGGACTTCCCCAGCAGTCCAGTGGTTGAGACACTGCACTCCCAAAACGGGGGCATGGGTTCGATCCCTGATTGGGGAACTAATCCCATGTGTCGCACAGCACAGCCTAAAGTAAATTTTTGAAAAATAAAAACCACTATCCTGCAAAATCAGCCGTAGCAGCAACTTGCCAGTTTAGGAGATGATTTCCAGGCTGCTGGTTCTGAATCCTCACCCATCAGGATTCTTCCTCCCAAAGCTTCTGCTCAAAAATGAGAGCATCTTGCTTGATGAACTGTGTGCGATGAAGGGGCTTCCCAAGTAGCACTCATGGTAAAGAATCCACCTGCCAAGGCAGGAGACACAAGAGACTCAGGTTCAATCCCTGGGTCAGGAAGCTCTCCTGGAGAAGGGAATGGCTACCCACCCCAGCATTCTTGCCTGGAGAATCCCATGGACAGAGGAGCCTGGCGGGCTACAGTCCATGACTGAGCACACACGCACACGCACGTGTGTGCGTTTGATGAAGAGTGAGAACTTATCCGCACACCTTTGAGCTAGAGACAGCATGTGGGTGACTCCGTAGAAGAGAGATGGGATGGGGCAGGGGTCAGAGGGAGCCTGTTAGGTCAAGTAAGTCGAATGTTTCTGAAATCCTGTAATGTGTGACCAGCAGAGAACCTTAGAAGTCGCTTGGGCTGATTTTACAAACCAAGAAACGGGGCCCAGAAAGGAGAAGGCGCTTGTCTAGGTTCCTGCAGCTTCTGCCGACAGTGACCAGCCAGCGTGACCGTTTCTGTGTCTGATGCAGAGCCCTCCTGCAGCGCCGGGCACCTCTGCCTTGCACTCAGGTGGAACACGCCCAGTTTTAAGCAGACGGGTTTCTACTGTCAGTGCTGTTGAGCCTTTTTTTTTTTTTAGCCATTTCTTAAAGCCCTCTCTTTTCACCAGCCCTAATAAGCGAGCGTACACTTGCCAGAAAACCAGAGCTGCAGAGGGACTCTGTGTAAAAGATGACTGGGTGGGCTGTTAAGTGTCCTGAGAAAGCCTCGAAAGGGTTTTGTGTTGCCCATGAAAGCTGTGTGGAAAATCGCCGTCCGTGGGATTTTCATCTTCTTGCACAACAAGCTGGGTGCATCTTGCTGTTGGGAGGGTGCCCCGAGAGTGCGCTGTGGCTGGAGGTGAGCAGGGCTGCAGCAGGCTGTTGGCGGCTTGCACGCCGGCCTGCCTCAGCGCCTAAGCCTGCCCTGCAGAGGCAGACGCGGTTCTCACTCTGAGTCAGCATGCTGCGTCTCTTTCAGATTTCGGATTTTTAGATTTTAAGTGAAATGATATCGGGGGCGGGGGATGCATAATGCCAAAATTAATTTCTAGGGACTTCCCTGGTAGTCCAGTGGTTAGGACTTGGTCTTTGAATACAGGGGTGGCAGGTTCTATCGCTGGTCAGGGACCTAAGATCCCGCATGCCTCTGGGCCAAAAAAACAAAATGTAAAACAGGAGCAACACTGTAACAAGTTCAGTAAAGACTTTAAAAATGAGCCATATCAAAAAATATATGTATATATCTATATCTTAACTAAAAATAAAACAACCATAGCAACAATTATTTTTAAAAAAATTCCTAGAAGCTACCCCTAAAGTATGGTAATTAGCAAGCCAGGGTAATAAAAATCAACCCTGGGGCTCCAGTTACAGACTAGCTTGAAGGGCACCTTTTTTTCAGTGACACATCATTAACCTCCTTTGCATCTCTGGCTCATGTGTCTCTCCCCACTCGGCAGGAGGCCAGATCAGCTTCGACGTCTTTCCCGACGGCTGGGACAAGAGGTACTGCCTGGGACACGTGGAGAAGGACGGCTATAAGACCATCTATTTCTTTGGCGACAAAACCATGCCAGTAAGTATGGAAGTGTGTTGGCAGTCGCGTTGTTCAGTTTGGGCTGGGGGAAAGGACAGACAGAGGGGCTTCTCCCCCCTACCACACACACTTCGCCCAGGAGCCTGGCTGACCCTGGGTGGCGGCTTCTGTCCTGTGGGGCGGGGGTGATGGAGCCCCTTCTTCTCTGCGCTCAAGACACCTGACGCCCCTGGAGGTAAGGATAGAGCCTTTTAGTGTGGTGTTGAGTGTCACCCGCCTGAGCACTTTCCAGAACAAGACCCGGGGCTGTCATCGTATTCTCTTTGCGTTTCGAAGCCCTTGCCTTTTTCATTTTTCACCGTATTTTCCCCCAGAGGCATTCATCTTGATTAGGCGCGAGGAGCCCTGAATGGTGGCAGAACAGGAATCTCATAGGTCTGACATTCAGGAGAGGTGAGAGGTTCTGGGTCAGATGCAGGCATCACTCACAGGGGGTAGGGGGCCATCCAGGGGGCACGGTGAGGAACCCCCAGTCCAAGACTGAACCTGAACTGGAGGCTGAGAGCAGAACCTGGTGTGGAGAGACCAGCGCCAGCCGAAGGCATTGCCCCGGAGCCTCGGGGCTCTCCTGAGGACAGGCAGTTCTCCTCCGGTTGGACCGAGAGGCGTTGCCGCCATTGAGGCTCCCAGGAGGTGCACCCCCGATGGCCACTGCCCAGCCCGGGGCCGCCGCCCTTCACCTTCTCTCACCTGGTGTCCCTCTGCTTCCCCGTGGGCCACCCAGGGTGGTAGCTGCCCTGCTGTCAGGCTCCTGGCTCGGGCTTTGTGGCTGACCTGCAGCAGCCAGTGCCACAGAAAGACTGTGTGGACGGAGTCTAATTCCTCCAGCACAAAACCCAGGATTTATGCGGTTTTACTAAAGTCTGTTTCACGAGGAGGGCTTCCAAGGTGGTGCTAGTGCTAAAGAACCCGCCTGCCAGTGCAAGAGACGTGAGAGATGGAGGTTCGATCCCTGGATTGGGAAGATCCCCTGGAGGAGGAAATGGCAGCGCACTGCAGTATTCTTGCCTGGAGAACCCTGCGGACAGAGGAGCCTGGCGGGGCACAGTCCGTGGTGTTGCAGAGTCGGACTTGGCACACACATCCGCATGGACCTGCCTTTTTCAGGAAGATCTCCACATGCTAGTCTTCCCGCAGGAAAGGGTCTTTCAGATAGTATAGTCTCAAGTCCTGCTTTCCAAATTATAACTGGGGGACTTGCCTGGCAGTCCAGCGGTTAGGACTCAGAGCTTCCACTGCTGCGGGCCTGGGTTCAATCCCTGGATGGGGAACCAAGGTCCCACAAACTGAGTGGTGTGGCCAGAAAAAAAAATTATAAACCTGGGTCTCAGCGAGGTTAACCTTCCCGAGGTCACACAGCTAATGATAGAGAGCCAGCTGCCCACTTTTTCAGTGAGTATAGTTCCCAGTCCACAGACCGTCTCTCCAGTGGGCAAGCTTCTGTCTTGTTCCCCAGCGAACACCGGACTTCTCAGGAGCTGTATCAGTGAGCCTCTCAATGATGGAGAGAAAAGGTTTATAACCACCTCCTTTTGTTGAAATGCTTTGAGGCAGAAGTGCTTTTAAATTCAGGCCTTGGGGGAAGAAAGTCACTGTCTGAGGCAAAGCAAGCAAATGATACTACACCCAGGATCTAAGGGAGGGCCAGAGACTTCCCCCGTCCCCCTAGCTTTGAGCCGGTCCTTATAGTCTGAGAAGCGGGCTCTTAGACGGGCCAGGACGGATAATTCTGTGACGATGACCGTCTTGCTGTACGTAAACAGCCCTCTGAGCCCTTGGTTGGGGCTTTGCAGAGTGGAATGCACTTCTTGAGGTAATCAGTGAACGACTTCTTTGGGGAATTTTTCATATAGGAGTTAGAGAGTTTTCTGTTTAACCACTGTATTATCACACATCAGTCTGTTTTATTGTTTATTGTTGTTTTAACTTTTATTGGAGTATGTGCTGTGCTTCGTCACTCAGTCGTGTCCGACTCTTTGCGACCCCATGGACCATAGCCCGCCAGGCTCCTCTGTCCACAGGGATTCTCCAGGCGAGAATGCCAGAGTGGGTTGCCATCCCGTCCTCCAGAGGATCTTCCCGACCCAAGACTTGAACCGGGGTCTCCTGCATAGCAGGTGCATTCTTTACCAGCTGAGCTACCTAGGAAGCCCTTACGGGAGTATAGTCACTTTTTAATGTTCTGTTACTGTCTGCAGTACCGCGGTGAATCAGCTATATGTATACACAGTCCCCTCTTTTTTGGATTTCCTTCCCACTTAGGTCACCACAGAGCGTTGAGTAGGCTCCCTGTACTACACTGAGTCCTGTCTGACTCTTTGTGACCCATGGGCTGTAGCCCGCCAGACCCCTCTGAACGTGGGATTTCCCAGGCAAGAACACGAGTGCATTGCCATTTACTCCTCCAGGGGATTTTCTTAACCCGGGGATTGAGAAATCCCTGTGTCTCCTGCTTTGGCAGGAGGATTCTTTACCACTGATCTCTTTTACACATAGTAGTGTATCAGTTACCTTCTTTTTTAATCTTGCCTACCTTTAAAAACTGGGTACTGTGAAATGGAGGGACCCCCCCCCACTCAATTCTTAATTAATAGGCATTCACTGTAGAAAATTAGAAACAGCATGAGGAAGAAAGTAGAAGGCATTGGTGAGTCACAGCTGACATGCTGCCCAGCCTTTTTGCATGTCTGTACATGACCCCAAATGTGGCACCTGGCATGTTCTTTTGTTTCTTTTCTGCTTTTGTTCTCAACATATTTCATTCCTGCCCCCGCATTAGGGAATATTTTTTGAAGACAGACTTTTGATGGCCATATAACATTCTAGTGTTTAGGCACAGTCTATTGACCCATTTCACTAGGAGGCCCTTTTGGGTTGTGGCTCTTTGCTCTCGTAACGAACACTGTGGTGAACCCTTCTTGCGTCATCCTTAGCCCTCTTCTCTGATCTTCTTTGTCAGTGGTTTTCCTGGAAATGGGAGTTAGCAGCCCAGCCATCTGAATCTCTTAACATCCTGACACGCGGAGCAGTTCAGATACTAGCTTTAAGCATCTTTTCGTATTCAGTGATAGACATTTTGAAAACTGTTTTCTTTCTTTGTGCTGGGGAAATGTTTTTGCTGGCTTCCCGGGAGATGGCACCTGAGCTGAGTACAGGGTGAAAAACCATTTCCCTGCCAAGCTCAGCAGACTCAGTTTTCCTCTGATGGGATCTGACATTGTATGGGGTCCCCCGTGTCTTCCCCGACCCCCAGCCCACACTGAGCACCTCCAGAGAGCAGAGGGGAGAAGTAAGAGGCTGGCCTTTGCTTTTCTAAACCCTTGTCAGTGCTGGAAACCCTCTCATCCTCGCCAGCAATCACAGCAACCAATGTCCTTCTAAACCCAGCTCCAAGTTCAGATTAAAGACCCTGGCTCCAGCCTTGGGGGGCCCTCAGTTTGCTGTGGGAGGGAGACAGCCAGGGCTTGGGAGGATGACCCAGGCCGCTCTGCCTGGCCCTCTGGGGGGGCTGCCACATCACCCCCATGTTTAGGCACAGTCTATTGACCCATTTCACTAGGAGGCCCTTTTGGGTTGTGGCTCTTTGCTCTCGTAACGAACACTGTGGTGAACCCTTCTTGCGTCATCCTTAGCCCTCTTCTCTGATCTTCTTTGTCAGTGGTTTTCCTGGAAATGGGAGTTAGCAGCCCAGCCATCTGAATCTCTTAACATCCTGACACGCGGAGCAGTTCAGATACTAGCTTTAAGCATCTTTTCGTATTCAGTGATAGACATTTTGAAAACTGTTTTCTTTCTTTGTGCTGGGGAAATGTTTTTGCTGGCTTCCCGGGAGATGGCACCTGAGCTGAGTACAGGGTGAAAAACCATTTCCCTGCCAAGCTCAGCAGACTCAGTTTTCCTCTGATAGGATCTGACATTGTATGGGGTCCCCCGTGTCTTCCCCGACCCCCAGCCCACACTGAGCACCTCCAGAGAGCAGAGGGGAGAAGTAAGAGGCTGGCCTTTGCTTTTCTAAACCCTTGTCAGTGCTGGAAACCCTCTCATCCTCGCCAGCAATCACAGCAACCAATGTCCTTCTAAACCCAGCTCCAAGTTCAGGTTAAAGGCCTTGGCTCCAGCCTTGGGGGGCCTCAGTTTGCTGTGGGAGGGAGACAGCCAGGGCTTGGGAGGATGACCCAGGCCGCTCTGCCTGGCCCTCTGGGGGGGCTGCCACATCACCCCCAGCCTTCCTGAATTACCAGGCAACAGTGCTGCTTGTTTAATGCTTTTTGTAAAAAACATCTTGACTTTAAGTCGCTGCAGCATGAAAACACATCTGAACCCTTTGTGAGCATTACCCACTGATGGACTTTGCCTCCATAGTTCCTCTCTGGTTAATTCAGCTCACAGTTCTCTCCTCCGTGTGTTGAAACGGCTACAGAGAGGGGCCGGCCCAGCTAGGACCCCGCCCTTCGCAGGAGGAGATGGAGTAAACACAGCTCCATGCCAGGTAGCCTAAAACAGCTCGAGCAGTGTAACAGGCTGTGTTACTGTCTAAAGACAGAGAAGTCCCCTCTCCTCACGTGTGTGTGTCTGTGCCCACGGGGAGTCTGAAAAGATACCCCAGAAACAAATTCCCAAGTTAACTGTGGAGGTAGGGGCGAGGATGGCAGAGGGACTTCCCACTGTGACCAGATCCTATTCTTTACATTTCTGAACTGCCTGAAGGTGCTATCTATTGAAAAATAAAACTTTAAACTGTCTAGTTGAAAAAGGGAAGAAGACGAAACTTTTCAAGTACTTCCTCAGCGCCAGACCCTGAGCTAGACACTTCCACGGGGTCTCCCCCGCCCCCACAGCAGCCGGGAAAGGCAGGGGCCCCACAGAGGGTCAGCCCCCGAGTGGGCTCTGGAAGCCCCTCCCTTGTCATTCTCTCCCCTCACTTCCAAAGCACTGAGATCACTCTGCCTTTAAAACCCGTGTGGTGGAGACAGGCAGTG